AACAAGCAATTTCTTTGTCTTCCTTCTATTTCTAACAACCCAGAGCTTGGAGCTTGGGTGGCAGCAGCTTCTTGCCCCTCTCTGAAGAGTGGAGCAAAACACTTTAACCTCTTTGGAACGCCAGGACCTGCCAGGAGACTGAGACAATGTGTGGGTTGATGGGGACCCAGGTGATGACTGTTGTGAACTGCGAAGTGGATGCTAGCCCTGAGCCTATTGGCCATTGCTCTAGCCAGGGACCAGGGACCAGGGACCAGGCCCGCAGGGATGCTGTGGCTTTGCAGATGCCACTTACGGCATTTTGAAGGATTGCTTTGACCAGAGACCCACTCCTCAGCCTGCCTTCTGCATGACTCACCCGAGCTGCATCTTTTGGTAGCATGAAGGACCGAGGTGGGGGAAAGAAGAATTTCTTACGAGTGGGAGCTCCTAGGTATTGCATCAGCAATTGAGAAGTGTAAGGTTCTTTGCAGGTCATAGACAGAGGCTTTTAAAAAAATTGAGATGAAATTCACGTAACATGAAAGTAACCATCTTAAAGGGAACAATTCAATCCGGTGGCCTTTAGTACATTCACGATGTTATGCCACCACCACCTCTATCCCGTTCCAAACCATTTTTTTAAAAAAATTTTTTATTTTTAATTTTTTTGCAGTAAACAGGCCTCTCACTGCTGTGGCATCTCCCGTTGCAGAGCACAGGCTCCGGACGCGCAGGCTCAGCGGCCATGGCTCACGGGCCCAGCCGCTCCGCGGCATGTGGGATCTTCCCGGACTGGGGCACGAACATGTGTCCCCTGCATCGGCAGGCGGACTGTCAACCACTGCGCCACCAGGGAATCCCCCAAACCATTTTCATCACTCCAGAATAACGCCTCTTACCCTTTAGACAGTCACTCTCTATCCCCCCTCCCCCTAGCCCCTGGCAACCAGCAACCTGCTTTCCGTCTCTGTGGACTTACCTGCTCTGGATATTTCGTATAAGTGGGATCACGTAACATGTGACTTTCGTGTCTGGCTTCCTTCCCTTAACGTAGTGTTTTTGAGGCTCCTCCATGTTGTGGCACACGTCAGTAGATCATAGGGTTTTAACAGCTACCCAGGACACCCAAAGACAAACCCTCACAGAAAGAGTGAGTCTTCCAGCCACTGTCATTCACGTTCTGCCCGGAGGAAGGGAGTGAACTAGATTCATCGTTCCCTAAATAAGCTACATTAGAGACACCAGGGGCGTGTCCTTTAAAAATACCGATTCCTGGGCCCCAGTCAGAGGGTTCTGAATCAGTAGGACTGGGGTGGGGCCTCTCTGGGGTCTCTGGTTGTTAGCTGGGTTTGGGACCCCTGAACCGGGTGGCTTGTGGGGGGGCTACCTTGACTTAACGATCTGCCTGTGATCTTCGCAGAGGCCTGAAGCTGCGACCCCGGTGCTGTTTGTTGTTTATGAGGCAGTTTCTCTGTGCAGAGACTTCTGTGGCATGTGATTTTCCTGTTTGCCTTCTGAGGGGGAGGCGTTGGGCCCCCTCCCTGCTGCTTTATTACAGCTCCGATGAATTGTGGCTCGTTTATGGAGCTCCAGCTACGGCCTGGAGATCGGAGAGGGAAGGTTGTTCACGCCCCGGGGTTGTAGTTACAGCTGACTGCACATCAAGCTTACGTTGTTGTCGAAAAGCCACCCTCCCATGGCTCTCACTCCCTCCCAGACTGGTGTCTTCTGGGTCCGTATGTGCCCACTCCTCTCCATGCGGTCTTTGGGACCCGAGTGAGCAAGGCTAATAGGAGTGATCCGGAAATCGGGAAGCCTGCAGCTGCGCCAGAGGGCTGGTGATGGGGGAGGCTAGGGGCTGAAGCCAGGAGGAAATCCCTGGTGATGGAAGAGGACCCAAACGAACCGGAAACCACCCACAAAGTGCCGGGACCCAGCACTGGCACCTGCAGGTGTTATGATCGCTGGGGGCCACTCTTGCACCTCTGGTTGCCTGGTCCCTGTCCGTGGAGGGCCTGCTTTGACATCTTCCCTTTCTCCTGGGGTGGGGACGAGGGGATGGAGACCAAGGGGAGATGCAGAGGCGGAAAGTGAGGCCAGAGAGCGCGATGATGTCTTTGCCTTAGTAAACCGGACAGCTTGCCAGCCTGCCTGGTGCATGGTGGATTCCCACAGCTGACTCTGCACTGTGCTGAGGGGGGGTGGGCACCTGGGCTTTAGTGGGAATCAGCCTCAGCCCCGCAGGCAGCTCCCCAGGGAGTTACCCGTGGCGCGTGCTGACGTCCCGCCAAGGGAAGGAGCTGAGCTGTTGTGTGAGTTGCCTGGTGGCCCTTGGACAAGCCGTTCCTCGCCTGAGATTTTTTTTTTCTCCCCACTGGGCTACCCTTTTAGGAGTGAAAGGGACGTCAAATAAAATCTTTTTTTTTTTTTTTAAAGGTGATTCACCAAGCTCGCCTTCTGGGCTTCCTTTGTAGAAAAAGCCCCTGGATGTTCGGATGCCTCCTTTGTGCTGCTCTCACCCCTTCACCTCTCCTAGGATTGGTTGAGGGGGCCCCATAAATCTCACGTCCTCTGAATAGAAAGACTTTAGCAAGTTGTGTTCAGTCCTTGTTCCCACTCTGATCACTGTAGGCTTTGTAACCTGCTCCAAGCGTTACTTGATTGTGAACCTGCCCATGGGGCTGTTCTGAGGTTGCCTGAGTGCAACATTGCTGGGCTTTAAATCTCAGACCCTGGATGAACTTAGTGATTCTTCCAGGTTCCAAATCCTTTATCGACTGACATTTGCATAAATCCTCAATTTGTTACCCTCTGGTTCTAAGGGTGAGGATGTTTTGGAGGGAGAAGGCTGTTAGCCTGAGTTCCCAGGGCACCTTTGCCTGGTGGGCTTCTGATCCACAGATGCTTCCAGATTCTTCCCAGAGGCGAGGGCTGGCAGGAGAGGGGGAGAGGGAGGGCTGGAGGAAGGCTCTGCAGCTGGTGGCGATTCCCTTAGCTACTTTCCCCCGAGCATCTGGGCTCAATAATTTGCTTATTTCTATTTTTTATTTGCACGTCTCTGTCGATGCTTGCCTGGACTTACCTCTCTGGGAGTGAGAAGGAATGTTTTGGAATGACATATTTTCCTAAAAAAAAAAAAAAAAATCCGGGGGCTTTTTCTTTAAAGAGGCCTCATTTCACCTGTTTCCCCAAAGAGCTTGGGTCCTGGATCAAATTAGGTGCAGGTGCTTAAGACCCAAAGCAATGTAGTTAAGGATTAGCTCTTTTGTTATTCTGTCAGCCAAGTTGGTGGCACAGGTGTTTCCCTTCTCCCTTCAGACAGTCTGAGAGCACTATAAGGAGTGGGCGGGATGAGGAGGGGAAAGGAGAAAGCAGCTGTGGAGGGAGGGGGGAGGGGAGGGGAGGGGAGGGGAGGGTTTTCTGCTCTGAGGGCCCATCAGCTCAGGTGTGTACTTTGCATCAGTCCGGGAGGTGGGGTGGGCGCGGTAGGGTGAGGGTGGGGAAGCGTGCAGGTGGACTGTGCAGAGGCTCCTCGGGGTCCAGAAGCTCGAGTTCCTTCTCCTGTGCCCGAGACAAGCCGAGGTTGAAGGGGCCGGTGGAATAGGCTTCTCCCAGGCATTGCTTGTGCTCCGGATTTTTGGGGGGGGTTTTGTCCTGAACGTTGACACCAGCTCTCAGAATTTTTGTGTGTGGTCATCAGTTGGCTCTTCCCACACGGGGGTGGGGGGTGAAACGGTTGCCTCAGGTGTGCCAAGATGCCAGCCCTTGAACTGTCCGTCAGTGACGGGTGAAAGGAAAAATAAGAGGAATGGAGTTAGCTTTTCATAAAGCAGAACCTATCAGAAAGAACTGTTCTTGATTCTGAGAGTCTATCTTTCGTTTTCCTCAGTTTTCTGTGTTAAAATGTCCTTTCTTTGAAACACGGCGGTGATTCTAGATGGTGGTCGTGTTGCTTTGGAACACGGCGGTGATTCTAGATGGTGGTCGTGTTGCTTTGGAACACGGCGGTGATTCTAGATGGTGGTTGTGTTGCTTTGAAGGGGGCGGCTGCATAACAGGTGAATCCCAGGAGCTCAGTGGTGTGAATGCATCTCCCCATTATGAGAAGTTCAAAACAAGTGGAGGGCCTTCTCCTCGGGGACTCGGGCTCCTTCTGTCCTGTGGCCCCACTCTCCTCTGGGACTGAATGCAGCCTGCAGGTAGGGAAAGAAAACAGGGCCGTGTAAGGCCACACCCCGTCGTAAGGCCTGGGCCAACAGTCTGCTGTGTCCTCAGGAGGCCGGGGACAGAGATCCAGAGAACAGCCAGCCACGCTCTGACACGGTGGCTGTTTGCATTAATGTTCTTACCTGGCAAGATAGAGGTGGCCGACCAGTCTTCTCCTGGCCTGCCTAATTCTTCTCCATTTTACTGGTTTACAAAAGCCAGAAGCCTGGGAACTACTGTTCGCGATAAACCGAAGCTCATTTCTGTGGAGTCCTGGAAAATATTTCCTTACTTGGAATACTTCAAAACTAGCTAAATAAAGCCGATGCTTTCCTTTTGTTCCTTCTTGTTATGAGCTAAGGATAAGCAACGTCACCTGGAGGCCAGAGAGAACCAGGTTGAACAGAAGTTTGAAAGCATGTGGTCTTTCCGGCTTGTGTCCCTTTTCTAAATGAAGAAGATGCTTCAGTGTTTTGGTTTCAGATCTGAAGAGTGCATGTCCCATGTATGGAGTAAGGATGAGAATAACCAGAGGTTGATTTCACAGAGGACAAAGATAAGCCAAGTTATTGGTTATGCCAGTGAGAGCCTGCGAAGAAGATGTTTGGCTATCTGGTTAATGCCACACAGCAGAGGGCTAGTGTTTCTTCTTGGGGAAGTTGAGTCTGGTGGAATCTGCAGAGAGGGAAGAACGGGCCGCCCTGGCCCGGTGCTCCAAGTGTGAGCACTTAGTCATGACAGAGGGGGAGAGAGTCTTGCTTTAGAAAGTTGGTGGCCGTCACTCATTTCTGTGTTGGTTTGATCTCTTTCAGGTTAGTCTGAATGATTCCCACAATCAGATGGTGGTGCACTGGGCCGGAGAGAAGAGCAATGTCATCGTGGCCTTGGCCCGGGACAGCCTGGCGTTGGCGAGGCCCAAGAGCAGCGATGTGAGTATTGGTGTCACTCTGGGCGTTCCTCTGTGCAGCCAGGACGCCCTTTTCTCATCCATCGAGGTTATCGTGCCAGACAAAATATTGGGTAATTGGGAGAATCTGGAAAATAACATATATCCCTTCTTCGCGGAACACAGGGTGGTGCAGGCGGTGTTGCAAAGAGACCCGTGTGATGTGCGGTGACGTTTGTGCAGTGGGAGGGCGTGGTCTGGGTTGTTGCATCTGCTCAGCAGAATGCCGGAAGCGTGTTGTTGGGCAGAGCTGTCCGTCGGCAGTGGAGCCCGATGGAACCGAATGGGTCTTTCCCATGTGCTGATTTCTTCTAACCTGTTACAGTTGGGTGAGTCCTTGAATCTGAATCGCTCAGACTCTTAATTTCCACAGTTGGCACCTTACGATGTTTAATAGCCTAGAAGACATTAGACGAGGGTCACGCACTCAAAAGACCCGTGATAGAGGCCAGATGGGTAACAGGCAGGGGCGAAGCTGCCTCCACGTTTATAACACTCTTCACCTCCACAAGGAGGAAGGGTCTCTGCCATTTTTCTTGAAGTATGTGGCCCTCTGGGACTTTTTCCCACTTTTGATAGAGATGCAGGTTCAAAAAACATTCACCGGTATCTTGATTTGAACATGGTGGTGGACGCTACCTGGTCTCAGGGTATAAGACACTGGGAAGTGGAGGGACTTTGAGCTTCTGGGCTGTTACTGGCTCTCAGCTCTGGTTGCCATGCAGGGCCCAGTGCTGCTGGATCTGATTTTCTGAGAGAAGCTCAGAGGTGGGGATTTTTACGTGAAAACTGCTGAGTCTTACAAGTTGGCAGCTGCCGTATAGCTTTTACAAACCCTGTGTGGGCCAAGTAAAACATATATGAGGGCCAGAGTGAGCCCCTGGGTCCAAAGTCTGTGGCCCCTTCTCCGAACCTCCCCTCGCGGGGAAGAGGAACAGCCCCTGCCTCGGGTCAGGGTGAGGCTGTGGACAGAAAACCACGTTGTGGAGGTTCGGTCACTCTGCACTCTGGCCAGAGGAAAGCCCCTGATGACTTCGCTAGCGCTGTCCCATCAGCCTGGAGGACATACTTGAAATTCTTGAGCCTAGATTTGGTCTCCATGAGGCCCCTCACTCTGCATCCACCATCTGGTTTGGATGTGCTCCAAGGTAGGGGACCAGAGGGTACCCCAGGGGCAGTTTTCTGGTGGGCTGAATGGGGGCAGCTGGGGAGGGCAGACGAAGGGCTGGCCATCGTGATGTGTAACTTGGGCCAGGGTGGGGTGCTGAGCAGTGGTGGTGGGAAACCGCTGCAGCTGACAGCCAGGCTGGGCGCGGTGACCTGGTGCAGGGCTAGGCTCGTTTGGGGCCGTGACTTTGGCCCAGTTATAAATGCGATCAGGGTTGGCAAGCACAGATGGCAGTGTATTGATGACTGTTGGCCTGTGAGAGTCCGTAGGCCGCTGTGTTCAGAGGCATCTCTTTTGAGCACAGGAGACAGCTCTCTGCCCTCCTGCATTAAGAAATCCTCCTTAGGGTTTTAATGTATTTTAAAAATTCTTTGTGCAGATAGTATTTTTGGCGAAGACCTATCTTTTTACTGTTTTGTGGTACAAACAGGAGCCCAGAAGCATTCAGTGATTTGCGTGGGGTCACTCAGCACGTCTGGGGCAGGGTTGGGGCTAAGACCCCATCATGTACTCGGTCAGTGCGTGAGGGGGTAGTGTCGCCACGGTGACCAACATTAGTTTTCGCACTGACAGTCCTATATCCTGGGCCCCTCCTCAGTCTTGGATGAACCAGGAAGGTTGGTCACCCCACAGATACTGCCAGTCTATCCAAACCCAATTCTCACTCTGCCTAAATATTTGGGTGCTTCTTACTAAGGACCCATTGAACATTTGAAACGATAAACTATTCTGGAATGACGTATACGCTAAGATTAAGTGGAAAGGAAACTTCGTGCTTGGAGATAATAAATTGGGACGGCAGAGATTTCCCTCATCAATGCATAAGCTACATTAAAGAACTGGCAGGTGAAACTGAGATGTTCTCATGTGGAAAGTTAATGCAAAAATAAATTCTGACTCAGAGGCAGGAGTAGGTGGTGCTGGAGTAGTAACAGTCGAAATTTTCTTTAAAGACTGGAAGCACGGTTCACAGGGCCCCGTCAGCAATCCAAAAGGAACAGAACCTATACAAATTAGGAACTGTGTGAGTTGGAGAACGGCCAACTCATACATATTCAGTGTATAAAAAAGGGATGGATCTGGAAGCTGGAATCCCGGAAGATTTGCTCTTAAACAGAAAAAAAAAAAAAAGAATATCCCGATGAACTTGTAGCCAGTGTGAGTCCATGAAGCATGGCTCCTGCAGGACCTGTCTTTTTCTGTGATGAGCCTGTAGATGAAAGGAAACCGAAGGTGGTGTTTATCTTGACCGTCCCCGCCTCTTCCTTTCTGCACCCTCCTGACGTATTTTATCAAGTACTCGGTTGCCACATAATTGACCAAAGAGCTTTCCAGAGATAGTGTCTACCAGAAGACCAGAATCAACCAGGGGAGGCATCAAGAATGGTAGGACTCACTGCCCTTGTACCCAGAGTGGTGTGACTGGTGCCCCTGGGGATTGGCAGGGGAGCCGGGCCCGCGCCTGTAGCCTGTGGGAGCCGGAGTCTAGCTGAGCCCCAGGTCTGAGAGCAGAATGCGTGGGTTTGAATCCTGGCTCTACCATCCATCAGCAGTCTGACCTTGAGCCAATTCCTTCATTTCCCCTTGGTTTTCTCATCCATCAGTGAGATAGTCCTTGTAAAATCTTGCTTCCCAAAGGGTGGTCTGCAGACCGGCAGTGTGCGGGTTCCGTGGGAGGTGGTTAGAAATGCAGAATCCCTAATCTCACCCCAGACTTCCTGAATCTGAGTCTGCATTTTGACCTGTGTCCTGCTGGGTGATTTGTAGGCGTGTTACAGTTTGAGAAGTATGGGTGTAAAGTACTTAGAACAGCCCCAGACACAGAGATGCTTTCTGGACACTTCAACCCTTCTCCCCGTCCCCTCCTCCTTCTCGTTATTATTTATGGTTTTGAAGTACAGGGGAAATAATTTAAAACCGTTCACTCTGAAGGACCATCTTTAGAGGTAAGACTGATCTAACTAGCAACTTTTGGCAGTTTAGAAACTGGGTGTGGAATTAAGAGATACAGACTACTGTATATAAAGCCACAAGGATGTGTTGTACAGCACAGGGAAATAGAGCCCTTGTTTTGTAATAACTTTACATGGAGTATAACCTATAAAAATATTGAATCACTATGTTGTCTACCTGAAACTCATATAATACTGTAGATCAACTATACTTTAATTAAAAAAAAAAAGAGAAACTCCTTTCTTCTTTATTTAGTTAAGGGAGTAGTGTCCTGGGGAGGCCAGAGAAGACTAATTAGTGCAGAAACCTGTGTCTGGATGCAAAGCAAACGGTAGGAGCACAGGATGAGTGAGCCTGGGGGCGTTTGCCTCAATTCACCTGGAGCTCACTGTGGGCCGTGAGTGAGGCAGCATGCTAGGGAAAGAAACCCTGACCCAGAATGTACCAACCGGGGTGCTGTGTGGAGGCCATGAGGTCATCAGCCCACTTGGCCTCGTCTGAACACTGGAAGAGGCCCTTGCAGGGCTCTTCACCGTGGAGGAAGGTGAATAGCTGTGCACAGCCCCGAGCTGGCCTTTGCCCTATTGATCTGTTGATCAAGTAGGGATAAGAATTGTGATCAAAATACCGTGTTGGAGTTGTCCAGCCTGGAGAAAGGAAGCAAGGCTGATGAGCAGTTTGAGAGCCTCAGGTGTAGCCTGGACCCTCACATACCTTCCTCACTTCTGTTTAGTATAAGCCCCAAAGGGATGGAGTTTGCTTACAGACGAGAATGTTAAGGGCGAGGTCTGTGGTTTTGAGGGTGGCCGCACGTCCACCACCAGTGGGTGATGCAGAGGTGTGGCGGGGTGTCCGGGGAAGGCCCCATGCTTCATTCAAGGTGGTGTTTTCTCTCTCCATGCAGTGTTCCTTCCAGTGCCCGGGCTGTAGCTTTGGTGTGTGATCTTCCTCTTTAGCAGAGAAATGCAAGCGTGCAGAGGAGAACATTCACCCAGAACGTTGACTTGAGAGAGTGGAAAGTCAGCTGAACTTGGGCTTGGAGGAACCCCTCCTAGTTTTGTCAGTTTCTAGCAGCATGACCTTGGGCTAGTCGTTCATTTCTCTGAGTTTTATCTCTTAACTGTAAACAGTTGTTCACTGAGTCAGGGATCCATTCATTTCACTCTCTTTTGTTCACTCACAGAACACATGCATTTACTCAGGCTGTGGTTTATAGTGAAATTTATTCATTTCAGAATTCTTTTCTGAGCACCTGCTGTGTTCCAGGTCCAGGGAAAGGGGCAAAGGAGAGACCCACTCAAGGGGGGGGGGGTTTAAAGATGAAGAGAGTTGATGTATACAAAAGAGTATTGTTACTGAAAAATGCTGCCCCGATGTGAGCTTATTATCACACTTGTGCCTCTGAGGAGGTAACGGAGTGGATTATCCGTGTAGGGGACGATGCTAGGGCTGGGAGGAGCCTGAGCTCCCTTTTGGAGACGCCGTCAGTTTGCTGTGTGTGACTTTGAATGTCACAAGGAACACTTCGTGTCTGTTCTTGGCCTGGAGGATGGAAGTGGGAAAGTACCGCTTGGTCTTCCTACCTGCTGAATTTAGGAAGCTGTTTCTGTGGCAGCCCCTCACCGTGTGTTTGGTAGTCGGGGAACACGTGCTGTGCTTAAGTGTGTGTGTTTGTAACAGGAATTCTTCCAGATGTTGGCAGAGGTTCTATCTGTGCTCTTCCAACCTCGACATCTAATAAATATTAATAACCCGCATGTGCGCTCGGTTTTCTTTGCACAAACACCGTGTAGTTCATTGTTCACGTGGGGGCATCGTTCACCAGCAGTGACGTGTTTACGTGCCCATCGTGTGAAGGGCCGTGTCTTTGTATGCCTGGTGTCTAGCGCAGTATCTGGCTCCCATGAACCCCTCAGAACGTGTTCGCTGCTGAGTCGATGGGATTCGTCCCGAGTTCCCATTCTTCTTGGGATTCACCTGTCCTTTTGCTTTAACTCTTTCCCCAATTCTAACTCAGTATTATATTCATAGTGTTCATAACATTATAGTGTTATATTCATCTGTCAGGCTCATTTTAAACTCACTGACTGTATTAATTTCACAGTGCCTGGGTAGTAAACTCTAGGGACAAATGATCTGACAACTTCCATTTCTTCCATCCCTTTCTTGAGGTGTGATGGCTTTCAGGTAGCCTCCGGGCACCTGGTAGACACTCAGTGCACAAGTTATTCTTCTGTTTCATACCTGTGGTTACCGGGGAGCCAGAGATCCGGAAGCAGGAGAGAAGTAAATACCGTTGGCAACTGCATGGCCCCCCCTGCTGTTCCTCTAAACTCAGAATCTCCCATGTTACAGGGTCAGGGTGCTGGAGGAGGGGGGTTCTGGGACCCCTCTGTGCAGCTTCTGTGCATATTTAATCACTTAGCACTGCTCTCTTTTTCATCTCTGGGCTACTCTGTGAAAACCCCTGGGGGGTTTTTTTTTTTTTTTTTAATCGTCTGGAATGCTGTAAGGACAGAACTCCCCAGCAGAAGGATGAGAATTAGATTACCTTTTGGGTACATTTCAACAGATGGCAAAACAAATTCTCAATCCCTTCCCCTCAGACAATCACATTTTCTCAGCCTCTGGATGTAGTTTGTTAAACACTCAACCCGGCCGTGGTGAGGAGCTTATCATGGTTTCTGTCTGCGCGTCTCCCCCTCCAGGGAATTGTTGTGGCCTCAGAAAAGAGGCCACCGGCTTGGGGACAGACACAGAGGTGGCCTGCTTCTCCTTTGTGGGTTGTCTTCACACCTGTAATTTCATGGTATCAGGGACCCGTTGGGAACCACACTCAGGGCGCAGGGGACGCGTTTGCAAGTGGAGGCGGAGGGAGCCGCCTTTCTGCCACTTTTCTCACCGATCCTTTTCTTCTTTCCCACCTCCGTCTTCCAGGTGTACGTGTCTTACGACTACGGAAGATCATTCAGGAGAATCTCAGAGAAGTTGAACTTTGGCAAGGGGAACAGCAGCGAAGCTGTGATCGCCCAGTTCTACCACAGTCCTGCGGACAACAAGCGTGTAAGGACGTCACCTGTCGTGACCGCGTGGGGCTGTCTTTTGGGACCATGGCTGCGCTACAGGAGGGCTGGGAGATGCAGCGCTTGGGCGTCTTTGCCACGTGACAGGCAGCCGGGGACTGTTTTTCTGCTTACCTGGGAGTCGGTGACAGAATGTCATTCTCAGGGCAGAGCTGTGCATAATCAGGCAGGATTTCTAGACAAACAAGGGCAGGTTAAAGCCCAAAGCGTCTGCCAACTGCCAGATAAGTCGCCTGCTTCATAGGTGGCACAAATGTTACCCAGGGCCACTGGGGCTTGCACTGGGGTCTAATCTAGGTCCTCCAGGGCAGCCGCTGAAGTCTTGGTTTCATGGGTATCACCAGTGTGTGTACACACGTGTGTACCTGCGTGTGCATGTGTACCCCCCCTTCCCTCCAGCCTGTACCGGTCTAGAAGGGAAAACCAGGGCAGCTGATCCTGCTGTGGCTCCTCATTTGTTTTCCCAGCTGTCTGCCCTGGGGCTTTGTTTCTGCAGTAGAACCCGGGCAGTTTGGTTTGGAGGAAGCCTAGACTTGAGATGGCCCTGGGCCCCAGGGAGGAAGAGGCGGGTGCGGGAAGCAAGGCTTTCCTGTGGGTTAGGTACCTTGAGCTTGGAGAGCTGTGTTTGGCTGCCTTCCTCCCCGCTCTAGTGATCCCGAGCTCACGTCCAGGATAGGATGACCGCTTCTAAGGATGCTCGAAACCTAGCTCCTTAGAAGCCAAAGCGAAGGTACGGGGCAGCTGCTGCTTTTTGCTCATCTGGAAAGGAGAGAGCGAAATCCACAGGGTCCTCTGAGCAGGTCCGCCCCCGCCCCCCTGCCCCGCAGTGCTGGCTTCTCAGGTTGCCTGTGGTCTGTTAGCAGGGACTGTATTCAAAATATTTAGCCACTGGAATGGCCCTGACCAATCAGAACAGACCCAGTCTGGAGGGAGCTGGGTTTTGAAGGCCACCCTGCTGAGGCAGGCATTAACCTTTCAGTCGCTGGACTGTGGGCTGGGCCTGGGGCGGGGACCAGGCCAATGGAGCTGGAGGAGGGGCCGCTCGTGGGTTTAAACGGCCTGTTTACTAACAGAAGCAATTGTTTTTTTAACAACTAGAATAGGTGCCACTGGTACCTACTAGTTAATATCAGCCCCGTCCGATGGTCTCAAAGTGGAGGGGCCGTTAGGACAAACTCCCCTCTAACCTAACTCCAAGGTGACCGAGCAGTTCTTCCCTCTGTGAAGGAAAGCACAGAAAGGGGTTGGAATCCGTTCTGTAGTCTGGACAGCAGGCCCGCCGCGCCCTCCCCACCACTGCACTGGCAGGCCTGGTACTGGGGACTCCCGGTCCCTCGAGTGACTGGGGAGCCCTGCCCCAGGGTCCAGCCTGCTGGCCGTGTAGCATCTCCTGTGGATCAATCTGCCTCTCAAGAGTCAGACAGCCCTTGGATTAGTCTCTACGTCAGGTGGTACCCATCCATCATTATTACTGTTAGTAATAGTACTATTACACATTGTCCCGAAGTTAACTCTTGCTGAAGTTGTGGTCTCGAAACTGCTCTGTTGTCCCTTTCAGCCCCATCTCGTCCCCTCCTCGCCTCTGACCGCAGGGCACAGATGTCTGTAAGCAGGCGCCGTCTCCCTTCCTGCTTGTCGCAGGTTGCGGTGAGCAGCTGCTGAACCCAACAGTCGGAGGAGTCAGAAGACAGGAAAGATGAAGTTAGGGGCTTGCGGCGGGGGGTGGTTTAGTGCGGGGAGAGGATCTGGGGCTTTTGGAGAGGGTGAAGGAGCAGGGCAGGGGCTAGGGCAAGAAGGAAGGAGAACCAGGGAATGGTTGCAATAGAGGAGCTCTAGGTGCTGCAGGTGAGGTGGGAGCCATGGGCCCGCGGCCTCAGTGCTGTCACCTGAAGAGCAGGGCTGCTCCGATTTCTCAGGGCTGAGTTGGGGATGATTTGGAGTTGGTGGGAGGATGCATAGGGCTGCCTTCTTGGAGAACTTGGTGGCTGTTGGAGCTGGGGCTGGAGCAGGCTGAGGGAGGTTAGGGATGCTGCCTTCCCTGTTGGGTTTGTAACTCCCCAGTGGAGGCTGTTACCCCTCCTCAGACTTCTCAGGAAGGAAGTGACTCTTACTGTGCTGATGACTTAGGTTACTTTTGCCTTTGTCCCTTGGAAGGCAGATTGCCCCACTCGACCTACCATTTCCTGATAAACATCCCCCATGGCTGAGTGCTTTGCCCTCTACGCCAAGGTGCCGGGCCCAGGCCAATCACCTGTGCACAGACGTTAGCGTGGCTGCCACGGAGGGCGATTGGAAATGGTGGAAGTGACTGTTCGCAGCTGCTCGGAAGGGCTAAGGTGTCACGAAAGGGCCACGTGGAAGTCTGGGGGGGCGTGGCCTGCAGGAGGGGAAAGAAGGCGCTGCTTAGGTAAATGGAGCGGCTGTGGGGTCACGTGAGAGTTTGGGTCTATTTTCGAATCAGCCCGCCGTCCCACTTCCTTCTTTGCGGTCCCCTGTGTGCCACCGCCTGGAGCAGCGTGCAGCTCTAGCCACCTGACAGTTCCACCAGCCTCGCAGTGCACCCGAGGTCAGTCAGCAGTGTCCAGACATGTCTGGGCTCTTTGAAGGTCACTGGATGTGTGGTCAGGTTTCCCAGCCTCCACAGATGCGAGAGCTGGTCCTGCCTTTTTCCAGGCAGAGGCTGGTCCCAGGTGGGATGGTGAAACGCTCTCTCTTTCTTCCCTTGGTTCCCACCTCCTGGAGGTGAGTCCGTTCCCTGCTTCGTCTGCCCATCCTCCTTTCACGGTACTCTTGGCTTCTTCACTCGAAACTGGAGACAGTCACTTAGGCTGACATGGGGATGAATTCTGTAGCGACTTTTGTTATCTTTCCGGAGGTCTTTGTGTTTTACGAGGGAACGTAGCGTTAAGCTAAAGGAAAAGATGAAGCACGTCTGGAATATTAAGTGATTGCAGACATGCTTGGAAAGGTAGGGGGTGGCGGTGAGGATGCTCCTGAAATTGCCCAGGTTAGGAAGCATCTAGTAGGTCAGCTCTGCTGGCCAGTCTGCAGGGTCGCCTCGAGCAGACTTGACAGCCAGGCATCCCGGGACTGAAAGCAGAGTAGGACGTCCCATGCCTTCGTACCCTGTGCACATTGGAGGACGTTACCTAGCGTCAGGAAGCACGTGCCTAAGGGTGGGATGGAAGCTGCAGGTCATTAGAGTAACGTTGGATCAGAGAGGTGGGTGCTCGGGACTAGGGCTGGAGCTTCACAGATGGGCAGATTTCTGTACCTGGAGCAGAGCTGGTGGGAACCCTAGGGGATCAGGGAGGAGAAGGGCATGGGCAGAGGCTTCAGGGTGCCAAATATGTTTTCTCTGCAGGCGGGGAGGGGAGTGTTTGCACTGAATGGCTTAATGATGTCAGTGGTTCCCCACCTGAAGAGGGAGGAGTTTTCCCTCTGCCTTGAGGACTGGAGGGAGCCATGGAAGAACCTTGGAGCTGACGGGTTACTGTGAATACTGTCCCTTAGGGACCTGTGTCTGGTCTGCCGGCAGCATGCAGGATGGGCTGGAAGGGCAACGTTAGAGGACGGTAAGAAAGGGAGCCCGTGGGTTACTATAGGCATGAAGTTGCCCAGTCACTTTACCAAACCTAATATCCACCCTCTAAGGGTCTCGCTCCCTGCTGGTCCTAGAAGCCAGGAGGATGAGTAAAACCCAGTGCCGACCCCAATTTCCTCATAGTCTCTAGTAGGACCATGGGCTGCGCTAGTAGCACTGGGAAGAAAAAGGAAGGCACTGATTGTGAAAGACCTTTTAGAGGAAAACCTAACAGGGTAGGTGGCCGATTGAACGTAAGGGAAGGCAGTGGAGTAGAAACCAGACCCTAATGGTGAGTAATGGGGCCGGGGAAGGTGTCACGTGGATAGGGCTTGGGACATGGGGAGGGAGAAGTGGGTTTTGGGGGGCAGGTGGCGAAGAATTCAGTTTTGGACAGAGAGCAATCTCTGGGCACATCCGGGTGGAGATGCTGACTGAGAAGGTAAAGAAGGTCATGAAAACTAGACTCTTGGGAAGACATCAGGGTGGGCGTGGAGATTTGAGAGTCTTGGAGTGCGGGCTCCTGGAGGGGCGGTGGTGGAAGCTCTTGGAAGGATGAGCCATAAGCCACGGTAGCAGCCGAGGATGGAGGAGTCAGGGTCACCTGAGGGCGAGGAGCTGAAGAAGACAGAGGGGCTGGCAAGAGAGAGTCAAAGACAGATGGTCAGGGCTGGGGCGTGGAGCGATGATGTGACAGTGTCTCAAAAGGCAAGAGCATTTGCAGGGAAGCTTGGGGACTGGATTAAGAGAGGAGGTACTTCACTGAGCCCAGCAGTCCAGGCTAAGACCTATGGATTCAATTCGGGAAAGGCTGCCTTTTTGTTGGAAGGAGAGAGGTAAGGTCTGATGAACCAGCCAGACGCTGATACGAATGCTGCCTCTTCCTGGTCACCTTGGGCAGCCGACCTCTCTAAGCATGAGTGTCCTCATTGGTAAGAGAGGAGATGACAGTATCATAGCTTGGAGTTGTTGCAGGGACGCTGTGAGTGAAAAGAGGCAAGGTGTGCAAACATTCAGCCCAGTGCCTGGTGCATACTAAGTGCCTCTTGAAAAATTGTAGCTATTGGACTTCCCTGGTGGTCCAGTAGTTAAGACTCCACGCTTCCAATGCAGGGGCCATGGGTTCAATCCCTGGTCGGGGAACTAAGACACGCATGCTGTGCGGCGCAGCCTAAAGGAACAAAAAGAAAAAGAAAAAAGAAAAATCATGGCTACTGTCATGAACGTCATACGTTCTGTGGCCGGACATGGGATTTCTAGGTCCTCAAATGTGAAACTGCAGGCAGCCATGGGATAGGTGTTTCTGGAGAAAACTTTTCAAACTGAGAGAACACTCCCTCCCCCAAATAACCAGGACAGTTTCAGAGCAGGAAGATGGGCTGTGTTATTTCTAAGGGACACTTTTATACCCCAAATGATGATGGTCCTCCTTAGGGTCCTAATTGTTTTTATCACTTTGCCTTTGGTTCCGCTAGTTTTTGCTTTCATACCATTTACTACCCTTTAGAGTTAGACTTCATTAGGCTTCTCCAGAGTTTGGAGTTTTACATTAGATGCTGTGGAGGAAACAGAGGAGAGAGAACACATAAAACGCTTGCCTGGGAAGTTTACAGGCTGGATGTGGGGAGAGAGCGTGAAGGAGAAGGAGCAGGAATGTCAGAAAGCAACGTGTAGACAAGTGCAGATTGTTTCTCCAGGCTGAGGCTGTTAGAGCTGAAGCGGGGTCTGGAGCAGGTGGAATCAATTAGGGAGAGCGTCCTTGGACTGATTCCTGTGCGTCCGTGATTTCTAGGATGTCAGTGGCTGAGTTTTGGTGGCGCTGGGCCCCCCCAGCTCTGGTTCTGGGTCACAGTCATCCTCTGAGCCACCCTGTGCTCCTGGGAGCAGGGGACGTCCTCCAGCTCTCTGTGTGCACGCAAGGCCTGCCACCTTCTGGGCTTTCCAGCCTTAATTTCCTGATATTTCCCTCAAGCCCCAAGACTGTCACCAAACCCATACTGTTTTTTTTTTTCCTTCCTCTTTTGTTCCCAAACTCAAACTGCCCTTGACTCGGCGTGTTCCTTCCCTGTGGAAGTCTTGTCTGCCCGTCAAGGCCCAAATCTTCTGTGGAGTCATATCCGATCTCCCAAACCGGAACTGATCTGTAGTCTGTGCTCTCATAGGACTCTGTCCATGGTTTCTCAGTTGGTCTCATTTCCCCTTGCATTGTAGTTGGCTGTAGACACGTCTTTCTCCCATATTAGACCGGAAGGTGCTTAAGAGGAAGGGTCCTCTGCTTTCTCTGGGACGCCCTCGGCATCTGGTCCAGGGTGCATGTTCGGTGCACTTTTGTTCAGTTGAATTGCTTTGATCCTTTCCCCTTGAGAACTCTTCAGGCCGGCAGTCACTCTCCAGCCTGACTTGTTCAGAGTCACTCACCCGTGGGGAAGCAAAATGAGGTGAGGCCCCTGCTTGCCCGCTGTGCCCCACAGTGAGTCTGCCGGCCCCAGTGGCCACTGGGTCCTCAGAGCTGCCCTGTCACCCGGCACAGGGGCAAGAAGGGGAAGCTAAGCTTCCTGGGTGGGTGTGATATCAGGGGTCTTCCCGGAAAGGTGTGTCAGAGGATGCACGGCTAGTGAGCAGGCCCATCCGTGTGCAGCCAGCCTGGAGAGCGGGGCTCCTCTGCCCGGCTTCCTAGAGCCGCCCTCTGATTGTGACCGGGTCACCCCCCGGGGAATGAGAAAGGCCAAGTCAGTTGAAAGAAAAAATAGAAAGGCTTGGCTTGCTTCATTACCTGGGTAAACAAGAGCTCCACCTGGCTTCAGCGCAGCCCGTCTGCACCCTTCCTTTGCCGAGCCTCGTGTGATATGCACCGGAGTCTCTTCATTGTCAGGAGATGGCAAGAAGACCATGTGCGAGGGTGCCGGCCCCTGGCCTCTGCATGCGTGGGCACTCAAACTCTGCTGGGGAAGGGGTGTTTGGGCGCGGCCAGGCTCTGCTCTGAGCTCTCCTCCTTTCCCTGCAGTACATCTTTGCAGATGCTTATGCCCAGTACCTCTGGACCACGTTTGACTTCTGCAACACCATCCAAGGCTTCTCCATCCCATTCCGGGCAGCCGACCTCCTCCTGCACAGCAAGGCCTCTAACCTTCTCCTGGGCTTTGACAGGTCTCACCCCAACAAGCAGGTAAGAGAGCTTCTGGGGCTCCTTGAGGTTTCTGTTCTGCCCCAGTGGATCGCCTGTCCTTCGAGTGACCTCCCCCAGCCCCTCCCTCCTCCTGTCTCAGGCTGAGCCTTTGTAGCTACTATTTCACTTCCCACGGCTGCGGAAAACTATATCCCCCTGGCACCCTGGGTCTGCATCCTAGCCAGGGAGCAACACCCAGCCCCGGCTGGCCCTGTTAGTTACACATCAGGCCATTCTTGCTGCAGGGACACCTCTGTTAGTCCTGGGGGTAAATCGGGTCTCTGGAATTAAATCAAAGAGAGCCAGGTAGGGAAGGCTGGCATCTGAGCTGTGCTGGGACCTCTTGTCGAATTTCTGTTCTACCTTTCCCATCCTCCACCTTAAACATACTGCCCTTGCCTACCATTTATTTGAAGTTACCATTCACTTAAATATTCTTGCTGTGTGTGTGTGTGTGCGTGCGTGCACGCGTGCGTGCACACGAGCGCACGTGTGTGCGTGAATATAATATAAATGTGTGCATTTTCTTCCTTTAACCCGGATTTGAAGGAAAGGTGAGAGATGGGGAGAGCACCCAGGTAAGTTTCTATCTCAAGGTTAAAACTCACCAAGTCAAGGGTATTGATCTCGCATAATCCCGTGGAACCTGTTGGCCCTGTAGGATGGGGTTCATGATGAGTTTCAAATGACTTTGCTCAGAGGAACCTTGGAACGATTCTTTTTCTTTGCAGGTTGTTTAACCAAAACATGACCTGTTTATCTTCACTTGCCTTAGGGAGTAACCCAAGTATGGGCTGTTTACCAGTGTAGGTGGATTATTGTTGTTTTTAGTCTCCTGCTTCTTGCTCCCTGGTCCCTAGGGCCACAGGAACCCTTAGGTTTTGTCTTTGGAAGTTGAGGGGCAAAGGTCAGCAAGTCAATTACTCATGGCCACACCTTTGTGTTCCGGGGATTCCCTGAGTCCTCTCCATTCAGCTTTCATCACTGTGTCCCATTATGGGTTTTCAAGGACACTGTTTCCCAGGCGAGAAGTACTGAGTATAATCCTTTTGTTTTCACCACCACGTGAGGGTCAGTCTTGAGTAAAATATAATTTCTGATAATCCGTAAAAGGAAGACAAGTCACGATCATTTTTCCTTCCTTCCAATACGGAGGTACCGAGACCTTAGTAACTGAATGGAGAAGAATGCAAAGGTGAACTTCCTGCCCTTCCTGCCCTTGTTGGCACGTGGGGTGACCGGGTTGGGTAATGTGATCTCCCCACCTGTCTTCACAGGGGACGTATTGTTGAGGCTGGGGTTTCCACGGGTGTGTGCTGGTGATGCCATTCAGGGATCTTACATCACGCCTCTTGCATCGTGACCACTTGTCGCTTTGGTCTTTGCAGCTATGGAAATCAGACGATTTTGGCCAGACCTGGATCATGATTCAGGAACATGTGAAGTCCGTTTCTTGGTAAGTCGTGCCATCTGAGAAATTTGAGTTACATAATCCCCTTGCTTCAGTTCTAGCTCCTTCATGCAGGGCAAATCTGCCCTCCCCTGAAATGTGAAGCATCTGGTTCAGGAAAGACACATTCCAGACCCAGGAATGAGAGCTGCAGGTATAACAGACTCCCCAGGGGTTTGGGGGGGTGAGAAAGGAAGGTAACTTGTGACGGGAGTGACAGAGCTTTTGCATTTTTCAATCCGTCAGGGAATCCAGGGGAATCTTGAAGCTCTTGCATGTATTAGAATTTCTAAAAGACCTTCATTTTTAGAGCATCATATCAGAAGTGGGGACTTTTCTCTAAAATTCGTTCATTTGTTCATAACATATTTTTTTTGAATGTCTGCTGAATATAAAACAGACGCTTTAGGGTGTAAGAAGTTGAATAACTGATGGATATAGTTATTAAGGAGATTGCAGTTTAGGAGAGAAGAAGAGACATTTTGTGCATGTAACATACATCATGAAAGAAGCATGAAGTCCCACGGACATAGCATAAGAAGCCAGAGGAGGGCCATGCTCCTTCCAGATGGGTCATAGGCAGCTCCACGGAGGAGGTTGCTGTTGATCCAGGATGTGCACACCAGGTAGGGTGTGGCTGTTTGGAGGGGTGCAGGATGGGAATTCCAGATGGGAACAGAATGGCCCAAGGCAGAGACGAGGCATTATGGTGCTTGGGTGGAGAACCCTGAGTCTTATCCTTGGACAGTGTATTGGGTGAAATTTGGAAAGGGGTGTTGGTATCAGAATCTGCAGTGCTTGCTTGATAAAGGAATTTGGACTGAATTCTGAAAGCAATGGGGAGCCATTGTAGGTTTTTGAGAAGGAAAGTGAAATCAACAGGGCTAACCTTTAAGAGGTTGTTTCTGGTCTTAGTCACCTCTGGCCTTTTACTGTTGTGGGGATGATGTATATAATCTTGAATTTGTACATATGCAGACGAATGTGTAGAGCAGACTCCCAGGCGTGGACTTGGTGGGTCAGTGGGAGACAGTCAGACCATTCACACCTACCAAACTTGATACCTCTTTACCTTCACCACCCTGGATCAGCTCTACCCATATGTAATCTTCCCCATTTCAGTTTCTAGTTGCTCAGGTGAAAAATTCCGAGTCATGACTGATTCCGTGTTTGTTTCATGCTTCACGTTCAGTCCATCAGGAAATCCCTGTGGCTGTACCTTCAGTATATACCCAGGATCCACTACTCAGCAACTGCTTTACTCCAAGTCACTGCTGTCACTCATTAATCATCCAGCTGGTCTTTCTACTTCTACTCTTGTCCTTCTGCAACTGATTCTCAGCATGGCCGTATTGATCCTGTTAAAAACAGGTCAGATCATGTTGTTCTTCTGCTTTGAACCCTTTCAAGTGCATCATTACTTTTCTCAGATTAAATGCCAGCTACATTCCTAACCACAGGGCCTTTGCACTTGCTATTTTCCCCGTCTAGAATGCTTGTCCTAAAGATATATTTGTGGCTTGCTCCTTTACCTCATTCAAGTCTGCTCAAATAACATCTTCCGGATGGGGCCTATCCTAAGGATCTCATTAAAATTGCAATTACTCCTGTCATTCCCGGTCTGCTGTAGCCTGATCTGTTCTTTTCCTGCACAGCACTCATCACATCCTAATATACTCTTATTATGCTTATTATTTGTCTTTCTTCAATAGAATAAAACTACACCAGGGCATGGACTTTTTTCAGTTTTGCACTGATATATCCCCAGTGACTAAAGCATTGAAATTGTAACTTTGCCAGAATTTCTATAGAAAGTGTCAAATTTTGCATTCGTTCTCAACAACATAGAATTATGCCTTTTTCCACAGCCAATGTGTTAGTATCTCAGTATAGTTGTATTTTTAAATCTTGTTTTATTTATTTATTTACTTACATGGTTGCACCAGGTCTTTGTTGAGGCTCGTGGGCTCCTTAGTTGTGGCATGCAAACTCTTAGTTGTGGCATGTAGGTGGGCTCTAGTTCCCTGACCAGGGGTCGAACCTGGGCCCCCTGCACTGGGAGCAACCACTGTGCCACCAGGTAAGTCCCTTGGTATAGTTCTGATTTGCATTTTTCTTATTATGAATAAGTTTGAACATCCTTTAACCTAAGGGTCATTTTTACTTCTTTTTTGGGGCCTTGTCTCTTCATGCCCTTTGCCCTTTTTCCATTAGATCGTTCATCTCTTTATTACTGATTTCCAGGAGCTCTTTATATATTTGAGATTGGTCCTTTGTGATATGAAAGAGCTTGTACGTGTATGTTCATTTATATTTATATTTTCCAGTTTGGCATTGGTTTCTTGACTTTTACATGTAGTTTTAGTCCTCATTAAATGTAGTGGCTCCACAAGATGTGGATCCTGTCTGTGCGCCTTTTAGCCGTCTCTTTGAAGAGGAATGTCTTTGAGTTCGTATTGCTTCCTTAGTAATTAAGGACAGTAAAGGATGGAGCAGAGAGGGGCCTTACAGCTGAGTATCTTCAGGCTCCAGTGGACTTCCTTTTTTTTTAAATTTATTTTATTTTTTTGCGGTACGCGGACCTCTCACTGCTGTGGCCTCTCCCGTCGCGGGGCACAGCCTCCGGACGCACAGGCTCAGCGGCCATGGCTCACGGGCCCAGCCGCTCCGTGGCATGTGGGATCCTCCTGGACCAGGGCACGAACCTGTGTCCCCTGCATCGGCAGGCAGACTCTCAACCACTGCACCAACAGGGAAGCCCTGGACTTCGGTTTTGTAGAGGGCAGCTCTTTCTGACTCTCATTACTTTCCTTGGGCAGAGGTTGTAGAGTCTTAGATTATAACCACACTCTCATCCGAGTACAACCTCTACCCAGGGAATACCATTAGAACTTTTTTTTTTTTAACTTTAAAGGGACAAATTGTTCTTTTTTCTGTTTAGAGAATCATATATTAAGAGGGCAAACCAGCAGGATTACTAAATAAAGAAGCTTCATGTTTGGGAATTTTTGTGTTGTACCTTCTGCCTCTGTGCAGACATGCAGATAGATATCCTAGGGGAAGGGGCTGCCTGTCTTATTGTAGATAATGACATGTCTGGTGTCAGGGAATTTCAGGCTATTTGAGGGATTTCTCCTAGGGTTCTGCATAATACGTGAGAGTGTAATGTAACCTCTCAGAGAATAAAGGCACACTTTGTTCAGCGATGCTTGGCGGCCTAGGAGCAGCAGGGGTGAGGAAAAACAGTGATTTATGTTATCCAGAGCTGGAGATTGGCAAGACAGGACAGAGGATGAGCCATGGGGGCGGGTTCAAGGATGCCCTGTGGAGCACCCCTGAAAGGCTGTAAGTGAGGTGGGTGAGGCCAAGTGAGGACCAATGACTGTGCTCAGAGACAGAGCAAGGCTTGGAACTTCCAAATGAGGGTAAAGAGAAGAGGAAGTCAGTGTCAGTGAGCATGGAAAGTGGGAGGCTAGCGATTGCCAAGTACAGGAATTTGTTGGGGGAGCAGCTCTCAGAAAGGAGAGGTTCAGATGTGGATTATGGAAGAGAATTGGGCTGAAAGCCGCAGCTCTTTCTGTTGCTAGCTGTTGGCTGCTTTGGGTTACGAAGGAATAGTAGAGGTGAGCTCCACCTCCATATCTGGGTGAAGGTCCCTTCCTCTCTGCCTTTTTAAAAATATCCAGCGTGTTTTAATTTGCATATCCTCTAGGGTAGAGGAAGTACTTTAATCAGTACTTCCAACTGTGGAAAAGAAGAGAACACGTCCTCCCCACCCCTCCCCTGCTCTGCACACAGAGCATCTCACGGTGAACGTTAGTTTCTCTCATTGGGACAGGCTGGTTTCTCCAGTGTCCGACCAAGACTCCAGATGGTAGGGCCAAAGTCAAGTCTTCCCCCTTCCCCCCCTTCCCCCTTCCCCCTTTGTTTTCCTCTTTCTTGTCTCCCTTCTTTTCTTCTTCCTCCCTTCCTCCCTCCTTTCTTTTCTTTTCCTTCCCGTCCCTTCTGTCTTGGAACTTGCTCTTGACAATACATCTTGGAAGGAATTTCCTATCATTGCCTCCATTATCCCGAGAGCCATTGTGTCTATAGAACCGTTCAGATGGTTTGTGTGAATTAATCATTAATGAGTCCTGCTTCTCCTTGGGTCATCACTGCATCCTCACTGTGAAGCTCTCCTCCAAATTTTTCCAACTGTTTTTCCCTCTTGCTCAATGGTCCGCCTGGCCTTGGTGTTCTTGTGCATGTTAGGAAACCTCGGGCAGGTTAGTTGTCCTCCCAGGCTGCTCTTAGGGCCCTTCTTAGGGGACACACCAGTGCAGAGATTCTTCTCTGAGGTAGTTTGATCTAATCACTCTGCAGTTTTTGGTTTGGAAGAACTTTTGCAATATGTCCATGGATCCACGCAGCAAAGATCAATGCAGCAAGGAACTCTATAGGATAAAAAGAAATGTAAGGCATGGCCTTTGATGGAATTTATACTCTGTCTAGGAAGCTCAGACAGATACATTATGGTGAACGGTATAATATAGTGGGTAAGAAGCTCCATTGTATAAAGTGAGAAGACTGATTCCAAAATCCACTTAAGGCAGTTCTCTCCCTTTTCTTGAACTCATAAAAAAGGCTTGGAATTGAGATGCATGGCTAGTGATGGGAGAAGGGCATGGGGGAAGGCTTCCTGGAAGAGGGGGACTTGCACTTGATCTCAGAAGATGAGTAGGATTTAGATGTGCAGATCAGAGTATATGCAGAGGGCATCCAGGCAGAGGGGGATAGTGTGGACAGAAGCACAGAGGGAGAGTTGAGCCCTGCGTTTCTGAAGGATGTCAGGGGGATCAGTACACTTGCCTTTCACTTTTCCTTCTTTTCCCTCTCCTCTAGCCCCGCTGGAGCTTGCCTGGAGTGAAACCCAGGCTGCACTGTAAACAACAGTACCAGCAGAAAATACTTGACAAGTGGCAATTCCTTTCCCTCTCTGCTGAGCCAAGGAGCCGCCAAAGGGTTGTGTTTGCGGCACAGGGAGAGAGCATCACTTGTAGCTGCTGCTATGGTGACCCTGGGTTCTCATGGATGATCTGCATGGCAGGACCTCTACACCTCCAACGACTCAATGTGGAGATGATGACAACCGCTTTTTTTTTTTCTTCCAGGGGAATCGATCCCTACGACAAGCCAAACACCATCTACGTTGAACGACACGAACCCTCTGGCTACTCCACAGTTTTCCGAAGTACAGACTTCTTCCAGTCCCGGGAGAACCTGGAGGTGATCCTGGAGGAAGTGAGGGACTTCCAGCTGCGGGACAAGTACATGTTTGCCACAAAGGTGGTGGTAAGTTCGAGGAGTAAACTGCTTTTGCGTGTCAGTTCTGAGGGTGGGTGTTCTGTGATCAGGCACGGAGGGTCCATGCAGGCAGGGACGGAATGCACGTGCCTGGGGGAGCTTGACTGCCGGTGCTGGATGTAGCTGGACGCTCCCAAGGGACCTGGAAGGTTCTGGGAGGTCAAGGAGCAGAAGAGCTTAGACAACCACTCAGAGTGTCTCTGGGTGCTGGGAATTTGGTCCTTTCCTGGTCCAAGCATCCTTGACCAACACATATTTCTTTGAAATCCCAATGAAAAGAACACAGAAAGGAGGGGTGGGGCTAAGTGGCTTTTTTTTCTTTAATCCCACTCCCTGATTTCCCTGCAGCTCAGGCCCATTTCTTTGGGAGGTTTGGACACATGTTCATTTACATGGCTAGTAGAATGTGTAGTCATTGGCTAGTGGGAGTTAATGCTCTAAGAAAAGCAGTACTTAAGCTTCCAGCTGTCAGTAAGTAGCTGAAGTCTCAGGCTTTGGGAAAATCTTCTCCTTGATTTTGTGTGTTGGAGCCACACGCTGAAATGGAGGGCTTGCTCATTTAAAACCACAGTTGATTATTTAACAGGACTTGCCTTACAGCTGTATCAAGTTGCAACCATACTGCCCTTGTGTAAAGGAAAAAACCAGGCCTGGCCAAGAGTAGGTTGGGCTGCTCTTGCCGGGGGGTGCAAGCTTGCTTTCATAACGCGACCATTGCCTCCTTGACCTCAGGTCTGACGGAGGTCTCTGGTGCCTGGGCGGTTGCTCTTTTCTGTCGTTGTTAACCTTAGGGACTAAAACCAGACGTCATGTTTTCGTCCAGGTTCTCACTTATTTATATGTTGGTAGCTGGCCAGGCAGAAGCAGGTCAACCCGCTTGGTAGGATCCTAGGGTGGAGAGAGGACTTCCCCAAAAGGGAAAGCAGGGAGCGAGGTTGGAATCAGAAGAGAAGATGCGAGAGGCTAAAGGCCAGAGGGGTTCCCCATTACACACCTCGAAAAATGGTTTTTTTTTTTTTGCGGTACGCGGGCCTCTCACTGTCGTGGCCTCTCCCGTTGCGGAGCACAGGCTCCGGACGCTCAGGCTCAGCGGCATGGCTCACGGGCCCAGCCGCTCCGCGGCATGTGGGATCTTCCCAGACCGGGGCACGAACCTGCGTCCCCTGCATCGGCAGGCAGACTCTCAACCGCTGCGCCACCAGGGAAGCCCTCGAAAAATGTTTTTTAAGACCACTAAACCATGACAAGTTTTCTTCTGTCAGGCTGTTTGCCTCGAGTCACACCCTGGATCATTTGCTTCCTGCCTTGCCTGTCTGTCTCTCTTACACACGTGCGTGCACACAGAACAGCCCAAGGACACAAGCATCCTTGAGTTGCTTCAAGCACAGGGATGTGCTGGGAGTGCAGAGGTGAGAGGTCAGGCCTGAGGACTGGTACCTTGTGACATCCAGTTGGGTGACCCCAAGTACCAGTTGTGTTTAAAACCTTGTCTCCAGTCCTCTGGTGCTCATAGGTCTTTTTTGTTTTAGTCTCTTGGGCCTGTGCTTTTTGTGATTTTAATTTCTCAATTTTAAGTCCCAGTGACTAATTCCCAGATTTCTTTTACTGGCTGAGCTGGGAGGGTCTGAGGTGGAGAGCACTTGTGCATTCCCTCATCCTATTATTTCTAGATCTCACACGTGAGAATAAGTTATATCCCATTTAGAGCTTTCTGTGCCTCTGTTCTGCCATCACAGCTATGTCTGTTGTGTAGACATAGCTGATTTTCAGAGTGCCGGTGGTAATTTCTTTACTATTCCTGGCCAGTGGTAGGATCAGGGGCTGTGTCTGTTTGATCATCACTGATGCAGTACCCAGTATCTTGCACATTGCTTGATACATAGCAGATGTACAGTGGAGTCGAATGAATCTTTGCCTGCCTAATTTAGAAAGATGAGGCTACTGGGGTTTTCTTTGGGGGGGGGATGGGATTGGGGGATATTAAATTATTAGTTCTTTTATTGTCAACTCTCAACTCTGTGTGTGGCTTATTGATTTATATGGGATTGGTGGCAAAATTGTAGTTGTGTTGGCTTCTTGCGTCAGCACATGGATGGACCACCAGATTCCAAGGTCAGTGGTGTTAGCTAGAGGCTCCAGGTGAGATGAGCTAGGCCACCTCCTGGAAGTGTTGTCTGAGGGTCACCTGCAGCAGCAGCAGCAAGGGCCCTTGTTACAAATGCAGATGGCAGGGCCCAAATGCATTTTTTCCCCTGAGCATCCTAGGATGGCTAAGAGTCTCCAAAATTTGAGACATTCTTCCCTAAAGCCTTCTACATGCAGAAGCTTCCAATGCTAGTTATATTATGAAAGGAACGTTTCTCAATGGATAGGTTGATGAGAGAAGAAACACAACTGCCAGTGGATAATAACATGAGTATTTTTCTACTTAATGCACTAGAGTCCTAAGCCATAAGGATAAACAACATTGGCCTTGGTTGGATAACCCTGTCAGTAGGAGTATTGAGGCCTGCAAGTGTCACTTCTTATCTGGGGTGTGCCCAGCACTCTGGTTGCTGGTTTTGGGGAATTCTGAGTGACTTTAATGTTAAATGGATTCAAATCAAATTAGGAAAGTCAAGAAACTAATTGTAAAACGACAGAAAATTGTTTTTGGGCGATGAACTCTTTGGCTTTTTTCCGGCACCGTGAATGATTCCAATTCTTTGCAAGTTAGTACTTTAGAACATGTCTGGGCAGCCATCTGGGTTCTGGACTGGAGCTGGTTTTCAAGTCTTCATAACTCTCTGGGGCCCTTCTGACCTGGCTCTTACTTCACATGTGCTTTGTATCAGATGCCCTTCAATTTCCTTTTAACCCAAGTTTAATTTTTCTTCCTTGGTTTTTGACATGAAATTCACTTACATAGTCCACAGCATAGGGCCGTTAATGCAACAGGGAGGCACCTCTGCAAAGGGACCGACATCAGTTTGTGAACTTGGTGAGACGCAGCTGTGAGGTACTTCCTGGTGGATAACGGTAGTTGCCGAACAGTTGGAGGGAGGGGAGGGCTGGCTGCTACTCTCCAGCTGCACTCCCAGCCTCTCCTGAAAGCCAGGCTCAGACATTTCTCGCACAGACGTGCAGCAGTGAGCCAACACCCGATGCATGAGCTTGTTGGAGTCTCCTCTCTGTTCTTACAGATGATGCAGACACAGGGTTCTAGAGCAGGCTTGGCAAACCATGGTCCTTCACTTGTTTTTGTCAATGAAGTTTTATTGAAACACAGCCATGCTCATTTGCTATGTGTCACCTGTTGCTGCTTTCATGTTACAGTGGCAGAAATGAGTCATTTCCTAGAGGCAGGATGGCCCACAAAGTCTAAAGTATTTCTATACAGACCTTCACAGAAAAAGTTTGCCAACTGTTGTTTTAGAGGCAGGATTCTGTTCGCCTTTCACTTGGCATCAGGCAGGTAGAATCCTCCAGTGCAAGAGCTTGATAAATCTGAGACATCACCCCCAAGAGTTCAGGTGACAGGCCTCCCTAAATCGCTGTGCCCTTTTCATGCCAGGGTGTTACCTTTAGGATATTATGGCTAATTCAGACACCTTGCATTCTGCAGATTTCCCGAGAGAACTCATTTGGACTTTCACTCTTCTGACCAGCCAACCACTAATTTCACTATTGGAAACCAATTTCTAACCATCATTATGCTGATTTAAAGTCGCTAAGGCTGATAGAGATAATGGAAAAACTTAGTTATTGCCTCAGAACGATGGGCTTCTACACGGGAGGTTAGCTGGCCACGGTGGGGATGTGACTTTTAGGATAACTGACCAACATCTGACTCTTGACGAATTATTTTAATTATGACATCCCTTAAAGGTCTCCAAACATAGACCTAGGTGTACGTACTCGCTGCTTATAACTCATACAACAATAAAGCTCAAATGTTTTTACGGATTAAAAATAAAACTATCCTACCAATGTGTTTCAAATTAATTTTTTATAACACCAGTATTGAGATATAATTTGTACAGCATAAAATTCACCCTTGCAAAGTACACAATTCAGTGGTTTATTTCACGAGGTCACGTAATGCTCACCACCATCTAAATCCAGAACGTCGTGGTCACCCCCAAAGGAAACTTCGTACACAGTAGCAACACTTTCCACTCCCCTCTCCTCCCAGCCCCTTGCAACCAGGAATCTCCTTTCTGCCTTGTGGATTTGCCTGTTCTGGACATTTTATGTAAAGGGAGTCATATGATTTGTGACCTTCCGTCACTGTTGTCTTTCGTAGTATCGTGTTTTCATGCGTGTTGAAGCAGGGATCATGGGATCACCGTAGTTTTACGTTCGCTGCTTCTTTCTCCTGCCAGATCAAATCTCTGGTTGAACCCCTCTGGCAAATTTTTGTGTTGAGTTATTGTACTTTTCAACTCAAGAATTTCTATTTGTTTCTTTTTAAAAAAAAAATAATTTCTGTTTCTTTATAGATATCCTCTATTTGGTGAGACAGTGTTCTTATACTTGCCTTTTTAATTCATGAGACATGATTTCCTTTAGTCCTTTGAATGCGTTTAGGATAGGGGATTTAAATTTCTTGGCTGATAAGTCCGATATCTGGCCTTCCTCAGGAACAGTTCCTATTGACTGTTGTGTGTGTGTGTGTGTGTGTGTGTGTGTGTGTGGTGTGTATGGCTGATACGTTGCTGTTTGCTTGCCATTGTTTTGGTGGAAAACCAGACATTTTAAGTGATATAATGTGACAACTCCTCACATCAGAGTAACCCATTCCCAGGGGGAGCTTTTTGTTGCTTGAGTTTTTGCAAGCTTTTATTTCATTTTCAGGATTCTGAAAAAGTTGATTTTTGTTGGTATTACTGTTGCCTTTGTTTTTTGAGTTTCCTGCATTCATTTTGTAATGTCTGCATCCCTTTTTGGGTATGGCCAGTAAAGTACTGACCATTAGTGGTCAGCTAATGACGGAACAGAGATTTCCTTATGCACTTTGAGCCATTCGTCTGGCAGCCTTTGCTGAGGGCCTCTGAGTGTGTGTTGGTGCCATGCCTTCTACAACTCTGCCTTAGCCTCTGCTTCTTGTTTGTGTAGAGACGCAAGGTTGTTAGCTGGCTGTGAGAGATTAGGCCCTTTCAGTTCTTTCCTGAGCATAGCACAGCCCTTTTGTGTGTGACCTTGTAAGTGTCTTGGAATATTTCAGAGCTTATCAAAACCTCTCACGGACATCTTCTTCCCCAGTTTTTCCTTTTAGGCCTTTTAGTTCACCTTTTGCATTTCCAAGCGATAATGTTTCTCCAGCAGCTGTGGTGTTAAAACATTTGCCACTTGTCACTGTTCCCCGTAAACGCCCTGGCTACAGGTCTGTGTGTACAGCGAGCTGAGTCATATTATATAAAGAGAAGACCTGAGAATGCAGCTTTCAAGCGAGTCACCAGGCAGATCAGATCTGACAGTCCTCTGGCTGTGGGGCATTTGGGAAGCTCCAAACCTGTTCTGTCCTCTCCAGTGGCTGCTGGGCTGGTGGTTTTCACAGCTGTTGTAGCTGTAAAGCTGTGGGTTTCCCAGGCTACCACAGAGCTAGAGAGAAAAGGGATGGGATTAGAACAAGTTAAAACATCCCCAAGTTAGCTCTTCTTGCCGGTCTTCAGTCGTTGTCTTGAATAAATGCTCCTTGAGTTTTTGCAAGCTTTTATTTCATTTTCAGGATTCTGAAAAAGTTGATTTTGAGAATTTTTGTCAGTGTTCTTGTTGTTTTCACAGATGAGGGGGTTTTTAGAGTTCCTCACTTTGCCGTTCCAGAAGTGCTTTCAATTAATATTAACTTTGCACACTTTTTATTATGGACGTTTTCACATCTACATAAAAGAATAGTTTGTACTGATATGACCTCCCCTTGTGCCTTCATTCAGTCTCAGTAGTATCTACATTTGCTAATCTCTTTTCAGCTGTCTACGCACTACTTATTTTTTTTCCTGGACTGTTTTAAAGCAAATCCAGATATATCATTTTATCCATAAATTGGGTATAAACAACATGAATGTGGATGGTATATAGCCGAAACTTTATTACTGCTTTGAAGGAGAAGGTGGCAGGGAATCTTACAGCCCATTTCTATCATGATCTAATTTGTATGTGAAAAAGAAATTTGGATGTATCAATTTGGCACTGTGTCTGGCTAGCAGACTAGAAATAAAAGCAGCGTAGCCAAGGCGGAGGTTTATTTTTCCCTCATCGGTGCCGCCGGAGGTAGGCGGTCTAGGGCTGGCATGTTGGTGCCCTGGTGTTATTGGGGTCGCAGGCCTCTATCTTGCTGTTCTACCATCCAAACAAATGATTTCCATTCTCAAAGTTCCCTCATGGTCCACGACACGTGTACTAGCCTTCGAGTCTATTGGAGTTAAGAAGAATTAAGGACAGACAGAAAGGTCAAAATAGGACCCCTCCTAGCTGATTCAGTCTCTTTAAGCAGCTTTCCTTGAAACCCAACGCAATAGTCTGTTTACGTCTCATCGACTGGGAACTCAGTCGCATGACCACACAGAGTTGTACAAAAGGAAGAGAGCCTTAGTCTTACTCAGGTGGCCGTCAGGGTCCTTTTGCCAAGGATGAAAGGCATTAATGGATGCTGGGGTAAGCGTAGCAGTGTCTGTCTGTCTCTGAATATGCTCATAGGTGACTGCGCAGAACATTTCTGAAGGAATGGCCCAGAGCCCGTTACCAGTGAGCACTCGGGAGCAGAGCGGAAACAGATCTTCTGCATTTTACCTTATACCTGTCTGTATTGTGAGATGTTTTTCATGAGTATGTTTTACTTTTATAATAATGGTAAAGGAAAACCCAACATCAACAAAAACCCATAGTTTATTAAGCAATCCATCTTACAATCAATGTGCCGTAGTTTCATTGTTAATACTTTTCTTGGTGGTGGTAAAATACCACAATAACTCGTCTGCAGATGCTTTAGGAATGAGCCTGATTATCCAGATTTAGGAATCATTCTCTTGGAAGGAAGTGGGATGGATGTGTTTAGAGGTTTCTCATGACCTTAGTATTCTGTGATTTTTGCATTTATGCCTTGCTATCCGTCCTCAATTCTCAAGACTCCCAGCAGCCATCATTAAGAACACTTAACTAATGAGGGGCCTGAATGTCACTGAGAAAGGTGGCTCCTTTCTCAGGTATAACTGCAATAGGAAGTAGTGACAGAACATAAAAAATATGTGTTTCACTGATATCTGTGTATTTATATATATTCATAAGGATTTATATAGGGTGACTTAAATCATCTGACCTTTATACATAGTTATAAAACTTTATTGACCTAAGGAGGGCTTTTGGAATTTATACATAGCAGTTTTACTGGGAACTCTTCTCTCATTCAGGTGATACATTTTGCGTTTTTAATCAGTCTATCATTTCTATAGCCCCATACTGAGGACAAGCTATTATGTGGTTTTCGGGCTGCCATTCTGAAAAGGCAGTCTTCTGTACTTCTCTGCCTGGCTTCTTTAAAACAGACGACTTTTAACCGGTGTTCAGTGGTGGCTTGAAAAAAAAAATGTGTGTGTGTGTACACACACATTCTGCTGCTCAAATGAATAGAAAATAACTTCATGTTCATCAGCCTGCTCTTCACAGTATTTATTGGACATGCATGAGCATGTGTATTAGTAGTTGTTATATTACAGTTAAGAGAAATTGGCATCTTCCGTCCTCTATAGGAATTTAAAATCTATAATAAACAGTAGCAACATAGCCAAGGATAAGTGAAGCCTTCTGGCTGGGGATCCCGACATTCTAATGAGTTGGGTGATAGTCGTGCTTGCGAGGATGTCCGCACGAGGATGGGCCTCCCTGTCTGTTTTCGTAGATGTGCCACATTTGCCTTCAGTTCCCGGTCACAGACTTGTAGAGCTGGAAAAAGCCACATAGATCCTTTACAGTGCTTCTTATCCTTTTTTGAATCATTGACCCTTTTGAGAACCCGGTGAGACGTTCTCCCTAGCAAAACGAGTGAGTACATCGACACAGAAAATTTGTATATATATTTCTGGGGTTCCTGGACCACTTAAACCCATACCCAAAGTCCTGATTCAAATCAGCTTCTCATTTTATAGATGAATAAACTAGGACCTAGAGAAATTCAGAGGGGGCTCCAAATCTAGTGCTTTTCTATACATTTGCAAGCTTCCAGCTGTGGTTTAGTATCTCTAAAATGCAACGTGACGTGGTCAGCATCGTGTGGAGTGAGTGCATCACGTGCGCGGTCAGCATCGTGTGACGTACTCTGTATGCTACCAAAGAAAGCATATTCTAGCAAAAGACCTTAATCACTGAGGAGTCTTAAAAGATTAAAAAGAATCAATGAAAATCCCTTCAACTCTTGGTACAAATTAAAGCCCTGCGACTCGGGATCCTAGCGATCTGCAGATAAGAGTAGAAGGAGGAAGAGGGTAGTTTTTAGGCGTATCAGGTGTGTGGCTGACCCCACCCAGGGGTGGTTTGGGGGCTGTGGGCTCCTCCGCCCCGCCTGTCTCGCCATCACACAATTCTCTCCCTTTTCACTCTCTGCTTAAGCTTTGGCGGCCACTGCCCCCTTCCCCAAGCTCAAGTTCTCCCATCATACCGTCGTCCTTCCTCTTCATGTGGTATCTGGAGTATCTAATATTTACTGCAGACCAGGTATCTAGGATAAAGTGGTACAGCCCAAGCTGCCCAGTGACAGCAAATGTTGCAGAAATGGGCATTTGCGGTCACACTCCCTATTTTGTGTTTTTAGTTGAATCAGAGGGGTCTGACTTTTCACTTTTCTCTTTGCGCTCATTTTGAGTGGCGATAATATAGTACAGTTGATTTTTTTTTCCTCTTCCTTGGCAGCATCTCTTCGGCAGTCTGCAACCATCCTCTGTCCAGCTCTGGGTCTCCTTTGGCCGCAAGCCCATGCGAGCAGCCCAGTTTGTCACAAGATATCCTATTAATGTGAGTGGGGTCCACGCCGGGGTGGGAAGGAGTGCCGTTGTCCTCGTGCAGAGGTTAGAGGGAGGGTGATGGGGGGTGGATACCTGATGGAGTCTCCCTGAAGTCACTTTCTAGATCGGTCTCGAGAGAGAGAACCATTATGCTTTGGGCATCTTGGTCTGTTTTCTCCCTCTTCACTTTTTGAAGTGGAGCTGAATGGGAGCCTTAATTTGCTTTAAGTGGAGAAGGATTGGCAGAGAGGTTTGGAACCAGAGTCAATGGTCTCAGTGTGCTAGTGCTGAAGGAATGAGAGGTTAGTGACAGCAGTAGTTATTTATTAAGTACCTGCTGTGTTGCTCACAGATGGTGAGGTTCCAAAAGGGGATAGGATTTGAGTCTCACCCTTTTAGAAACAGATGGGTTGGAGAGCCTGAGAGCAGAGCAGAGGAAGAAACCATGTACAGTCAAAGGCTTGACTGTGCAGTACGTGTTAGAACATAGAGAGCGATAGGGAAAGTCAGTGTGGACTGGGTCATCAGAGAAGTGACCACGGGGAGGAGGTGGCATCTGGAGGCCTTGATGCCCGGAGTTGGTGTAATGGAAGGTTGGTAGCTAAGAGGAGGGTGTGACGGAGAACATGCTTGTCTGTTCTTTGCTTTCTCTGGGCTCTGCCTTCCTGTAGTCACCTTAGAGAAAATAAGAGGGAAGGAAATGCACATTAATCCATGTTGTACTTTGTACTAATGATAGGGAGACATTATTAACTAAAAGCGATTTCTGGGTCATTTTTGGAGTTCAGGGCCCCTTCTTATTTTGTGTCCCACCTGCCAAGAAGGGGTTTGCTCCGGCCGTAAGGCAGCCTCAGGGTCTCCAAAGAGAGTCGGCCAAGCTTCTTTCCCAACGTGGGGAAGCTTTCCGTGGGCTCCGAGCCTGCAGTCCTCACTGGGACATTTGGAAGTCATTGCCTTAGCGTGCACTGGGACAGTCCACAGGGCCTGTGTGTTTTTTTTGACTTCTGTCTTTTCTGACTTCTGATGCCAAAGGAATATTACATTGCGGACGCCTCCGAGGACCAGGTGTTTGTGTGTGTCAGTCACAATAACAACCGCACCAACCTGTACATCTCGGAGGCGGAGGGGCTGAAGTTCTCGCTGTCCTTGGAGAATGTTCTCTATTACAGCCCAGCAGGGGCAGGCAGTGACACCTTGGTGAGGTAAGGAGACCGGGAGGCCCTCCCTGCGTTCTTACACCCCCGCACGACCTCTGGATGGGTGGGTTTCAACATTAGCTGCACGTTTGGACTCACCTCGGCGGGGAGGTTTCAGAAACCCCGATTATGCCTGGCTCACCTTCCTAGAAATTATATTTTATCTGGTTTGGGGTGTGATGGGTGTGTGAGGATTTTCAGAAGCTCCCCAGGTGACGTTTATGTGATGCACAGGCTGAGCAGCACTGCCTGGGTGACACTTAGGGTCACCGCCACAGTGTCAGCCCCTCCTTTGGGTTCCCTTCATTCAGTTACCTGGTTTTGTGGTCTCAGAGCCAGTGGGAAAGAGTGCTTGCAAATCATCATCAACTCCAGACCAGCTGGTATATGTGGCCGCAAGGCCCTGCTTCTGTGTGACTCTGGTTAATTGACATCATTACTCTTTTTTTCAGTAACTGCAAGGTATTGTTCTGTGGTGTCTGTGGAAAGACACCAACATCACCGATCCTTTGTCAGTAAATCACATGCCTGGAGTTGTCCTGCAGTAACGGGTGTTCTCTGGGTCGTGGAGGAGTCTGGGGTTTGGGAGGGGTGGATGCCACGAATCCGTGGGGGCACTGGTGCCACAAGCCCATTTATTTTCGTTTATCGGGTGACAAACCAGACTTGTGTGTGTCTGACTGTGATTACGTTTACTCTGTGCTCTTGGGAAGAGCCATCCGGTGGAGCCGACTGACTGGTCTGCAGTGAGGTCTGGCCCAAAAGGCCGTGACCACCAGGTCAGAGGGCAGGTCCTTGCTGCCCACTGTCCCTCTTCACGTTGCCAGTTCATTCAGTCATCAGTTCATTCAGCAAGTATGCTGCTGCCTGGTGCCTGGCGATGTTGCGTGTACAGCCATGAGATATTGTATCCAGCAAGGAAAACTCAGGACGAGGCCCCGCATTCTATGGAGCTTTTGTTCTAACTGGGGGAAAACAGAATATAAACAAATATGTGATCTGCTGATAATGGTGAGCGCTGAGGAAAAAAATAAAGTGAGATAAGAGGACAGAGGGTTACGCGGGTATTACTTTATATTGGCTGGTCGTGGAAGGCTGTTTCACGAGGGTGACATTCCAGCAGGTGCCTGAATTACACGAGGAAGGGAGCTGGGCACATACCCCGGGGAAGAGCATTGCAGGCGGAGGGAACAGCAGGCATGGGGGTTCTGAGGTGGGACTTTGTTGGTTTATTTTAGGAGCAGTGAGGAGGCCAGGGTGGATCCAACAGCTGGTGGAGGGGAGAGAGCATCCCCAAGACACAGGAACCAAGAGAGCAGGGTTCAGGTTGTGTAGAGCCCTCAAGGGCGTAGAAAGAACTTTATCTTTTTCTTCTGTTCTTCTTTTTTGTGCGGTGTCCTAACCACTGGACCACCAGGGAATTCCCTATTTTTTCTTCTAAGCACGATGGAGGGTTTTGACCAGAAGCTGGACATTATTTGATTTAACCTGTTACGTTTTTGTGGACACCATTTTAAAAACTGTGAATTGCATTACGTAAAGAAAAGTGCATAAAACGTAAATGGGTAGTGTTAATAAATAATTTTCAGTGAACGCTCACGTGACTTATCTTTTAAAGAAGCCATCCTGGATGCCGTGTGGAAATTAGACAGTGGACTTTCATGTGTCTGGTGGGGACATGAGTGGAAGCGGACTTTCATGTGTCGGGCGGGGGGGACGCCCAGCTGTGAGAGCACTGCCAGAAACCAGGCCAGTGGAGATGGAGGTTGGCTGGACCCCGGGGGCAGTAGCAGTAGAGATGCTGGAAATGGTCAAATTCTGACCATTTGCTGATGGACTGGACATGGAGTATGAGAGAAGGAGGAGTCAGGGACCCACCACTGCTTGGCCGGGGTAGCTGCTGCAGTGATGGTTTCAGACTGACGGAGAGGGCTGGGCGAGGTGCAGGTGTGGGGAAAAGGTCAAGAGTTCTGGTTTGGAGATGCCTATTAGATATCCAAGCAGAGAGCTTCCTGTGTGGTCTCTGATATGCTTTTCTCCGCCCTGTTTCTTCTCCTTTGGAGGTGCTGTCATCTTTTACTCCTTACTTTTTTTTTCCCCTGTGTAGACGCGCAGGTTATTTATTTATTTATTTACTCCGGGTCCCTCCCCCCTCCCACAGGTTCCTTATTATTCAGTGTCTTATGTTGTGTTATAAACCATTCCTGCCCTGATTCATCCTCAGGTTGTTCTGGGCAGTCACGGCCCCTTCCGGCTGGTCCTGTGGCTTTTTTTTTTTTTTTTTTGATTTATTGAAGTGAAATTCTCATGATGTTAACCATGTTATTAATGTAAACAACTCTGGCACACAGCACGTTCACAATGTTGTGCAGCCACCAGCTTGATCTAATTCCCAAACATTTACATTTATATTTCCCCCCAAGAAAACCCCTTACCCGTTCAGCAGTTTCTCTCCACTCTCCCCTCCTCCAGCCCCTGGCAGCCACCAGGCTACTTTCTGTCTCTACGGAGTTGCCTGTCCTGGCTGTTTCATATAAATGGAATCATGCCGTAACACCTGACCTTTGTGTCTGCTTCACTTTGTCATGTAACATTTTCAGGGTTTACCCACGTGCAACACGTGTCAGTCAAGACTTCATTTCTCTGTATGGGTGAGTAATAGTGTCCTTCCTTTTTTATAACTAAAATCATGAACCACTCTCTCTCTGGCCTTCTGCCGACTCTTTGTTTGTCACCTTTGAGAGCCTCCAGCTATGGGGCTGATAAGTCGCGGCTTGGCTTCTGCATTTGTCAGCTCTTCAGGATGGAGACGGCAGGGCAGGGCAGGGGCCCGAAGCTGCAGCGAGTGGCTCCCCAGGAAGCGGGAACCTCAGTGACGTGGCCACGCGACCACTGCGCACAGACAGATGGCCCTTTATGCAGTTACAGACATTCCTCCCCGACGGCCTGCCCTGCCTCACCACTTGGTCCAGTTAGGAAAGTGAAAATAGATTTACGTCAAGATTCATAGACTGACATCCTCCTCGGCCTTCTTATTTTTTTTTTCTTCAGATTTTATCTCGGGACTGGAGATGTTCAGATGTACTCAATTGAATGACCTTTGTCGGCTGCGTCTCCATCTCAGCACGATGACATGGGACGGGGTGAAGGAGCAGGTTATGTGGGCAGGCTGGCTTAACTTAAAAAACAGAAAACCACACCAAAGCAAACGAGCTCTTCTTTGAGCTCAGTGGGAACGTGTGGTGCCGAGGACCTGGGTCTCTTTACTTAGAGACCGGGAGGAGGAATTCTCAGCAGGGGTGACCCTGACCTTGTGAGAGGTGCCACGTGGAGGCAGCGTCTAGATGGAGGGACAGACGTGGTGGGCCCACAGGGCATCTTGAGGATGTGCTGGGTTTGGGCTGAGGGTGGTTGAGGGGGACCTGGTGAGCTGCCTGGCGGGGGGGAAGAGCAAGTGGTGAGAGCCAGGGAGAGAAAACGGAAGAAAACGGACTCTCTGGGGGAGATGCTTGGGTAAGTCAGGTAGTTGTAAGGTGCAAGGCGTCAGAGCGGGAGATGACAGGGTGGACCGGGGCCTGGAGGAGCGTGGGACGTACAGAGGCTAGGCTTCTGCTTGGATTGAAAAAATAAAACACCAGGAGAGAGACCAGGGGGAGAAACAGGGCTCCTGAAAACGAGAGAAATTCAGACCTCCCAGATAAATTGAAAGAAGCCGATACGGGGACCTCACGATGCTAAGATCACAAGCAGCAGAGCCGAGGTGAATGGAGGGCAGGGGGGAGCAGACGTGGGGCCCGTTCCTAAGGAAGCAACTGAAAAACAACTAAAACCTAGACCTAAGGAAACCACGCGTCAGAACCTTTGGTCTCAGCGCTGGTGTTTTCTGGAGGACCTTGCTCTGCCTCTCAGCTGGGGTGGCCCTGCCACTGCTGTGTGCGTCTTCCTGTCTGAGGTGGCCAGCCGTCATCCAGCTCGACATTTGTATGACAGATAAAGGGAGAGCACAGTTCTGTGCTTTTTCACAAAGCCCAGTGGCTCAGAACCCTCCAAATAAAGGACCCGCTTCCGGTTTTACAAGCCACGTGTGAACTGTGGCTACCCTTTCTGAGAGAGCTGTTCTATTTGTAACGTGTGTACCATGTTAGAACAAAGCTTCTTCCCAGGGCAATTACAGTATCTGGGGTAGCAGTTAAGGCCGGGGAGGGTCGTCTTCTCTGCTTCACTGCTAATAAGCATAACCTCAAGGTTTCCAGAGCCATCCTTGTTAGATATACCATGCCTTTGGGAAAGGGGTTCTGCTTTGCTCCCTGACAAATCCTATCGGCTTCCGTCTGATCAGGGATTTGGCTAATTAGTTGTAAGTATCTGGACAGTGGCTGTGTAACCCCTTAGCTACATTCCTATAGATTGGGTTAGATTGTAAGCCTCAACACTATACTTCTTTAAATTGAAGAATAGTTGATTTACAACGTATTAATTTCTGCTGTACAGCAAAGTGATTCAGGTATACATATATATACATTCTTTTTTATATTCAGTTCCATTATGGTTTATCATAGTATGTCAGATATAGTTCCCTGTGCTATACAGTAGGACCTTGTTGTTTATCCATTCTGTATATAATAGTTTGCATCTGCTAACCCTAAACTCTCAATCCTTCCCTCTCTCACCACCCCCTCTCCCTTGGCATCCACAAGTCTGTTCTCTATGTCTGTGAGTCTGTTTCTGTTTCATAGATAGGTTCATTTGTGTCATAGTTTAGATTCCACATGTAAGTAATATCATATGGTATTTGTCATTCTCTCTATGACTTATTTCATTTAGTATGATAATCTCTAGGTCCATCCATGTTGCTGCAAATGGCAGTATCGCATTCTTTTTTATGGCTGAGTAGTATTCCATTGTATATATGTACCATGTCTTCTTTATCCATTCCTCTGTTGATGGACATTTTGGTTGTTTCCATGTCTTGGCTACTGTGAATAGGCCAGCACTATAATTAGTATCGGTGAGTTTGGTTTAAGGTTTCCTGTTTGTCAGGGCTCACTAGAGGATTTGGGGTCAATTGCATTAGTGGAGAAATAAAGGTGACTCTGACATCAACTTTTCCGTGTTGTATTAATCATTCTGAACCCCACGTGAGGAGTGATAGGTCAGGTGAGCATCTTGGCCTTCAAAATTACAAAACATCACTTTTTTAAAAGGACAGATTATTCAGCCGTAAGAAGGAATGAAGTACTGATACAACATGGATGGACCTTGAAAACATGATGCTAAGAGAAAGTAACCAGATACAAAAGGCCACAAATTGTATAATTCCATTTATAGGAAATAGCCAGAAGAGGCAAATCCATAGAGACAGAAAACTGATCAGTGGTTGCCAGCGTCTGGGATGGAAAGGGAAAGTGGGGCATGACTGCCAGTGGGTCCAGGGTTTCCCTTTGGGAAGATGAAAATATTCTGGGACTACACAGTGCTGATGGTTGCATAACATTGGGAAGGTACTTAATGCCACTGAATTGTGTACTTTAAAATAGTTAAATTTTATGTTATTTAAAATAAGAACATGCCAAGCAAATGATGAATTCATGCTCACAGCTGTTTCATTTTCTCTTAATGTAGGTATTTTGCAAATGAACCATTTGCTGACTTCCACCGCGTGGAGGGGTTACAGGGAGTCTACATTGCTACTCTGATTAATGGTTCCATGAATGAAGAGAACATGAGATCAGTCATCACCTTTGACAAAGGGGGGACCTGGGAATTCCTTCAGGCCCCAGCCTTCACGGGATATGGAGAGAAAATCAATTGTGAGGTACAGATACTTTGCTCTTGTTTGGATTGTTAATACACACTTTTAACTGTAGTTCTACTCTTACAGTTCCCAAACTCTGCATCAAGATGCCTTGGGATGCCATAGTGAACTCACAGGGGCACCATGGGATATTTTAAGTTTTTGAGGGAAAAACTGTGATACTTGATGTCTGTTGGTCACCATGTGAATTACTATCTTGAGTTAGTTCACCGTTTCAACATTAGCTCATGTTATATGTCTTTTGATGACATATCTTTGTGAAGCTGGATTTTTGGCATTTGATGTGATAAAAAGCAAGTAAGAAAATCAGGTTGGCACAGGAAATGATGGTAGTGATATCTGATTAGATTCCAAAGTTTGAGAAGATGTGCAGTGCCCAAAAGGCGTCTATATACTGTTATTAAGTAATTTTGGTTATTTAAGAATGAAATAAAATTTTATGTTTTCTTTCAATTTATACACACACACACACACACACACACTATTATTTCAAACTGCTGCTAAGTTATTAGGACGTATACTTATTAAGTTGTTTGGACTTAACTATGTAAAAAAACAAACATTGGTATTTCTTCTGACCTGAGGCTGTTATAAAAAAAATTACTGAGATACCAGTTGTGCTGGGAACCAAGAAAGTCTGGGGACCTGTGCTGTACAGCAGAGTGATTTGCTGGGGAACACCTTTTAAAATTCCTCCCTGAATATAATTTAGGATTCTACAGTTTTCCCTACCTGTCGCTTCATCTGAAAAGCTCATGATACTAAAATGTGTTATTTGGTCCCATTCAGTGTTACCATTCGCTTAGGTGGCTCCTTCCTTTTCCCTGGGGAGAAGTCTGTGATCGTGGTCCTTGGCTTCAGGTGACACCCCACACCTCCATTTTCATTTCTCTAGGGGATCTAGGGTGTGTAAAGTAGTCAGGCGGAAGGAACTTGGAAAAAAAGAGTAGTACTCATTTTTGGAGAAACCAAAACATTTTAGTTAGACAATTACCTGGTCTTTTGGATTTTTGAATTTCATTTGTCCATGGTTAAGTATATTGACTCTCTCGTATGCTGTATCCGTGGTCCTTGGGAAGATTATTTTGGAGACTCTTGTTCTAGAATGTACTTCTTGATTCTTTTTTCTTTTCCTTTTCCTTTTTTTTTTCTGTACTTCTTGACTTTTCTTCCCTATTTGGCAACAGGTCTGGACTTACCACATCGAGTCTAGCTTTGGAGAGAGGCAGGTTATAAGTAGGTGCAGATAAACACCTAGGTGTTGTTTCACTGCACGATATAGGTTTTGGAGCATGTGGTAGGGGTCCAAACCTTGGTTAAATAAAATGAATAGTATTGTTAAAATCCAGCTGCTTATTTCCCTGACTGATCAGTTTATTTATGAACTGTACAACAATTAGTAATCAGCTTTTAGTTTCTGCTTCTGATTTGAGGTGGTGACAGAAAAGGTGAGTTGGCAGGTATTTGAGACTCAGCCTAATTTGCTCCAGTTTTTATTTTCTGAACGTTGATGCTAGCAAGACAGATATTTGTTAGAGAGATCCTTTCGTTATAAAAATAAGTATATCTAGCAAATCATGTCAGTTTTTACCTGTAACTTAAGCACACATAGAGATACCCCATCTAGAACACCAGACAAGGCTACGTAACATTTGACAGTCACTTTCTGGCCGGGAGAATCAGGTATGACCCTATAGCAAAAGGCCTTGTTTGCAGAGCTATTAAAATCTGAGCATAAGTGATAGAAGCCAGTTTGAATAACCTGAAGTCTTGCAGAGGACACGTGAAGACTTGTCGTACAAATGCAGACTGCTTAAAAAGTTTAATGTGACTCTTTTGGGGTTTATATCTCATATGTGTTGTACATCTGGGAGCTTATCAGTGAGATTTTCTGACTTCTGATTCTTAGGTTTTTTTCTGACAGAGTTGCTTAAATCACATTTGAAATACATCTTCATTGACTTAGAAAATAAGCGCCATGAAATCATTTCATTCTCTTTCATTCTTTCGAATGACATGAGAGAAATTCTAGGTAACATGAGAGAGTGAAAGCTTTCCTATCTACTTGAGTTGGCACTGATTTCTTTTTTAATTTTTATTGAAATATAGTTGATTCACAATGTTGTGTTAGTTTTTGGTGTACAGCTAAGTGATTCAGTTATATATATATATATATATATGTATATATATATATATATATATACACACACACACACACACACACATCCCCACACATATTATATGTATATATACGCACACACTTTTTTTTTTTTTTATCGGTACGTGGGCCTCTCACTGCTGTGGCCTCTCCCATTGCAGAGCACAGGCTCCGGACGCACAGGCTCAGAGGCCATGGCTCACGGGCCGAGCCGCTCCACAGCATGTGGGATCTTCCTGGACCGGGGCACGAACCCGTGTCCCCTTCATCGGCAGGCAGACTCTCAACCACTGCGCCACCAGGGAAGCCCACACACACACTTTTTTAGATTCGTTTCCATTGTAGGTTATCACAAGGTATTGAGTATAGTTCCCTGTGCTGTACAGAAGGTCCTTGTGGGTTATCTATTTTATATATGGCACTGATTTCTAATTGCTATTCTCTGAGAGTCTCAGAAGGAGTTTTTTCTTAGGATTTTTCTCTTTTCTTCCATGAGAGGCATTTATGTGGTTCAGATGATCATGTCCACCTGGGGTACTGTGGGGACAGCCAGGCTGTGGCTCTGGTCTCCTTTGGGCCAGATCTCCTTCCTCTGTGCCGACTGCAGCGTGGGCCCAAGAGGCCTTGGCGTTTCGAGGGAGACCTCCGTGTTGCATCGCGTGCTGACGGCTCCTGAACTTGTGTTCTGTAGCTCTCCCAGGGCTGCTCCCTCCACCTGGCCCAGCGGCTCAGCCAGCTGCTCAGCCTCCAGCTCCGAAGGATGCCCATCCTGTCCAAGGAGTCGGCGCCCGGTCTCGTCATCGCCACGGGTAAGTTGGCTTTGCCTGTTCTCACTGACAGGTTAAGCTATTGTCTTACGTGCAGCCAAGTACACAGTGACCGCTGCCACCTAGGGCAGTACTGGCTGTTCATGGTTCTGAGACATCTTAGTTGCGAGATGACTCAGAATTTCTGGTTGAGCAAGGTGATTATCTGGCGTATTCTTGACATTAAAAATAATTACTCTTCTTGCATTTTAGGTTCAGTGGGAAAGAACTTGGCAAGCAAGACAAACGTGTACATCTCCAGCAGTGCTGGAGCCCGGTGGCGAGAGGTCAGCCCCCTCCCTCCGCAACCCCTGCCCTTGTTTGTGGGAGAATGTGGACTGTGCCTTGACATTTCAGGGACACACACGGCTGGTGGTGGAGGCCAATGACGCCAAGTATGATTATAAAATAAGGAGAGGTACCCGGAGCCACACTGACAGGGTCAGCTGATTTGTATTCACACCCCGTGATGTGGGCTTGTGATTTTGCCAAAAATGTTACTTTGAATCCAAAACAAACTTTTTAAAAAACAACTGCGAATTTGTGTAAATATCCCAAGATTGTGAGTTCCGTAAGGATAAGGCAGTGTCTGTTCTGTCACTTTTTTACTCCTGGGACCTAGCAGCGTCTGGCAAGGACACATGGTGCTCAGTAACTGTTTGCTGAATCCATCGGCAGATTGTCACGTATTTGTAGTGGTATCAGGTCTGAGCCTGGTTTCTTACTTATTTTTGCGTATTAGCGAAGTTAAAGCCAAGCCCCTGCCCCACCCCCGTCCCTGACTGGCTGTACTGCGCAGGCGCTCCATCTCACTCCGCGCTACGGCAGACTCTGTGCTGCGGAAGAGGCTGCTTTTGCCTGAAGGTTGTGTGACGAATTTGGATCCTGAGGAACTGATTGTACCAATTCTGAAGGTGGGGCTAGTTCTCTAGTCCCCAAATGCTAACTCAGCCTTGGACATGAGAGAATTCCCAAACTTGTTTCAAAAAAAAAAGTGTTTTTCACCAGTCTCCCATCAGGGAGACAGGCATCTGGTCTCATTCTGTAGGGGCCGCTTTCAGTGGTGCTCTGCTGTGTGTGCAGGGAGCTGCTGGGGTAGAACTCACCAGATCTCTCGCAGGCCGGACGTGATGTCAGGAGGGCTGTGGGATTCTCGGGAGAACCAGCAGACAGCTCCCATCCTTATGGTGCCCTTCCTGGGAATGCAATACATACACTTTCAGAGTGAAATACATAGTATGTAAAGCAGTAGTAATACCCAGCATTTGTTTGGGTCTTGGCCTGTCACATACCTTGTCTCGTTCAAGGTAGGGCTTGCTGTCCCTCCATACATTGTGTGTGTGTGCGTGTATGTGCATGCATGTGTTTGTGTGTGTGTAAGGACTACACAGCTGTACAGTGTGGTAGGAAACATAATTACGTATTCGGATGAGGGAGATTGTTAAGGCCAGAGTAGTCAAAAAGTGTGAACACTTTGGAATTTTCGGGGCATCCTTGTCTAGCTTCCATGGGAAAGACTAAGCAGTGGCTTTCCTCTTCCCTGGAGCTGGACATTCCTTTTGAAATTGGGTGTTCTCTCCTCTGCAGATAGGCTGGTGGTTTGTTCGTACCTTCTGATGTTGGTGTAATCTGGGATTTGAACATCTGCAAGTGATTTCCTTCTGGGGAGAAAGCAGTGTCTTGCTCCTCCTCCAGTGAAGTGGTGTCGTCTGGCTAATGCTGGGGCAGCTGTCAGCACCTCCCGCCAGGCATGCTCTGCGCCTGCCAAGAGGCAGCCGTCGCACAAGGGACCTTAGTTTTGGAGCTAGCAGGGACTAACTAGGGGATGAAAAGGTGGAGACTGTCTGTGTGAGCGGGCATCTGAGTCCCCACGGGCAGCCTTCTCTTTAGAGGGACATTCTCGAGTGTGTGAGGGGGATAGGTGGTGGCCAGGAAAGAGGAAATGGGATGCAGTTGACAGATGCTGTCTAGAAAACTGATGACTAGAATTCTTGTTCCCCTTCTCCTACTAATAAGTTGTGCAGCTTCTCAGATCCACAGAGTTCCGTTTTTGCACTTAAAAAAAAAACAAACTTTGTTCATGTACAGTAAGCTGCACGTAAAGTATATAATTTGATCAGGATCGATCACCATCACTACACCTTCACCCACACCACAATCAAGACAGTTGCATCACCCACCAAAGTTTCTTTGAGTCCCTTTGTACTTCATTCTGGTCTCTACCCTCATCCCTCCAGACTATTAGCATTTTCTAGAATTCTGTGTAAATGGACTCATACAGATGCAGTCTTTTGGCTTTGAGGTTCACTCATGTTGTTTCATTTATCAGTGATTCTTTCCTTTTTCATTGTTGATCAGTATCCCATTGTGGGGATATTCCACAGTTTCTTTATCCATTCGTTGATTGATGGACGTTCTAGTTTTTGCTGATTACAAATATAGTTGTTACAGACATTTAATTGCATGGTTTTTAGGTGGACATATATTTTTATTTCTCTTGGGTAGATACCGTAGGAAGGAATGAGTGGGCAACCTGGTAGATATGTCTAGCTTTTAAAGGAATTACCAGATTATTTTAAAGTATCAAATTGTTTTCCAAAGTGGATGTACTGTTTCATGTTTCCACCAGCAGTGTGTGAGTTCTGATTGCTTCCGGTGCATGCCAACACTTGATATGGTCAATCTTTTAAATTTTAGACATTTTAATAACTGCATATGATATTTCATTGTGGTTTTAATTGGCATTTCTTTGATGACTAATGATGTTGAGCTTCTGTTTTTTTTCCTTTTTTTTTGATGTTGAGTTTCTTTTCATGTGTTCATTGGTCATTTAAAACTCTTTTGTGAAGTGTCCGTTCAGATCTTTTATATATTTTAAAGAGCTGTGTTTGTCTTCTTATTGAGCTGTAAGAGGTCTTTTTTTTAATATATTCTGAATTTAAGTCTTTTATGTGTGTTATAAGTGTTTTCTCCTAGTCTGTGGCTTGCTTTTTTGTTTCCTTAAAGGTGTCTTTTGAAGAGCAAATGTTTTTAATTTTGGTAAAGTCTAATTTATCAGTTCTTTTCTCCTATGTTTTATGTGCTTTGTTGTTCTGAGAAATGTTTGTCCTTCCCAAGTTAGCAGAGATTGTCCCCTATGTATTCTTTTACAGGTTTTATAGTTTTAGGCTTTAGGTTTAGGTTTATGATCTATTTTGAGTTAATTTGTATATCTGGTGTGAGGGAAGGGTTGATACTCATTTTTTCCTTATAAACATGCTATTGGTCAAGCACTGCTTGTTGAAAAGACTTCTCTTTTCCGCATCAAATTGCCTTGGTACCTGTTTGAAAATCAATTGGCCGTATGTGTGGGTCTCTTTCAAGACTTTCTGTTCTGCTCCATTGATCTATATGCCTGTCGCTTCACCAAAACCAAATTGTCTTGATTACTGAAGACTTAGAGGAAGGGTTGAGATCAAGTACAGTAAGTCTTCCAATTTTGTTCTTTATAAAATTACACTGACTTTTTCTCGTTCCTTTGTCTAACCACATAACATTTAAAAAAAAATTTTTTTAAATTAAGTTTTATTGGAGTATAGTTGCTTTACAATGTTGTGTTAGTTTCTACTGTATAGCAAAGTGAATCAGCTATATGTATACATATATCCCCTCTGTTTTGGATTTCCGTCCCATTTAGGTCACCACAGAGCATTGAATAAAGTTCCCTGAGCTATACAGTAGGTTCTCATTAGTTATCTATTTTATATATAGTATCAACAGTGTATGTATGTCAATCCCAATCCCCCAATTCATCCCACCCTCCTTCCCCCTTGGCATTCATACGTTTGTTCTCTACGTCTGTGTCTCTATTTCTGCTTTGCAAGTAAGATCATTTATACCATTTTTCTAGATTCCACATATACGCATTAATATATGATATTTGTTTTTCTCTTTCTGACTTACTTCACTCTATGACAGTCTCTAGGTCCATCCACGTCTCTACAGATGACCCAATTTCATTCCTTATTATGGCTGAGTATATTCCATTGTATATATGTACCACATTTTCTTTATCCATTCCTCTGTCGATGGACATTTAGGTTGCTTCCATGTCCTGGCTGTTGTAAACAGTGCTACAATGAACATTGGGATGCATGTGTCTTTTAAAAAAATTTTTTATTGGAGTATAGTTGCTTTGCAATATTGTGTTAGTTTCCACTGTACAGCAAACTGAATCAGCTATACATATACATATATCCCCTCTTTTTTGGATTTCCTTCCCATTTTGGTCACCACAGAGCACTGAGTAGAGTTCCCTGTGCTATACAGTAGGTTCTTATTAGTTGTCTATTTTATACATAGTATCAATAGTGTATATATGTCAATCCCAGTCTCCTAATTCACCCACCCCCCCTTCCCCCTTGGTATCCATGTTTGTTCTCTATGTCTGTGTCTTTATTTCTGCTTTGTAAGTAAGATCATCTGTACTGATTTTTTCACATTCCACATATATGCATTAATATATGATATTTGTTTTTCTTTTTCTGACTTAACTTCACTCTGTATGACAGTCTCTGGGTCCACCACGTCTCTACAAATGACCCAGTTACGTTCCTTTTAATGGCTGAGTAATATTCTATCATATTTGTGTACCACATCCTCTTTATCCATTCCTCTGTTGATGGATATTTAGGTTGCTTCCATGTCCCGGCTATTGTAAATAGTGCTGCAGTGAACACTGGGGTGCATGTGTCTTTTTGAATTATGGTTTTCTCTGGGTATATGTCCAGTAGTGGAATTGCTGTGTCATATGGTAGTTCTATTTTTAGTTTTTTAAGGAACCTCCCTACTGTTCTCCATAGTGGCTGTACCAATTTACATTCCCACCAACAATGCATGAGGGTTCCCTTTTCTCCACACCCTCTCCAGCATTTATGGTCTGTAGATTTTTTTTTATGATGGCCATTCTGATCACTGTGAGGTGATACCTCACTGTCGTTTTGATTTGCATTTTTCTAATAATTAGTGATGTTGAGCATCTTTTCAAGTGCCTCTTGGCCATCTATATGTCTTCTTCAGAGAAATGTCTATTTAGGTCTTCCCATTTTTTTTTTTTCTCACCCATTTTTTGATTGGGTTTTTTTTTTTTTTTTTTTTTTTTTTTTTT